TTCTTTATCCAATTTTTTGTCTCTTGGAGACCCATAATTTTCATTTCCATGAAATAGAAACAAGTAACAGGTTGCCTAAGAAAGGAAAGGCCCTGGTTTCCAAGATGTGCTGAGGGAGCTGATCTGGGATGAAGGAATCATATCTTTTTTATTAGTATTTTTTTATTTTTATTTTCTTAAAACTTTTATTTAGTAAATATAAATTTCCAAAGTACAGTTTATGGATTACAATGGCTCCCCCCCCATAACTTCCCTCCCACCTGAAACCCTCCCATCTCCCGCTCCCTCTCCCATTCCATTCACATCAAGATTCATTTTCTTTTTTCTTTTTTTTTTTTGACAGGCAGAGTGGACAGTGAGAGAGAGAGAGAGACAGAGAGAAAGGTCTTCCTTCCGTTGGTTCACCCTTCAATGGCCGCTGCGGCCAGCGCGCTGCAGCCGGCGCACCGCGCTGATCCGATGGCAGGAGCCAGGTACTTCTCCTGATCTCCCATGGGGTGCAGGGCCCAAGCACTTGGGCCATCCTCCACTGCACTCCCTGGCCATAGCAGAGAGCTGGCCTGGAAGAGGGGCAACGGGACAGAATCCGGTGCCCCAACCGGGACTAGAACCCGGTGTGTCAGCGCCTCAAGGCAGAGGATTAGCCTAGTGAGCCGGGACGCTGGCCAAGATTCATTTTCAATTATCTTTATATAAAGAAAATAGATTTAGTATATATTTAGTAAAGATTTCATCAGTTTGCACCCACACAGAACATAAAGTGTAAAATACTATTTCAGTACTAGTTATAGCATTAATTCACATTGGACAACACATTAAGGACACAGATCCTACATGAGGAGTAAGTGCACAGTGACTCCTGTTGTTGACTTAACAAATTGACACTCTTGTTTATGGCATCAGTAATCACCCTAGGCTCTTGTCATGAGTTGCCAAGGCTATGGAAGCCTTCTGAGTTCGCTGACTTCGATCTTATTTAGACAAGGTCGTAGTCAAAGTGGAAGTTCTCTCCTCCCTTCAGAGAAAGGTACCTCCTTCTTTGATGGCCTGTTCTTTCTACTGGGATCTCACTCACAGAGATCTTCCATTTAGGTGTTTTGTTTTGTTTTGTTTTGTTTGTTTGTTTGTTTTGCCAGAGTGTCTTGGCTTTCCATGCCTAAAATACCCTCATGGGCTCTTCAGCCAGATCGGAATGCCTTAAGGGCTGGAATCCATATCATTGTATAAAGGGTGTCAACGCAGTGATGATCTGAACCTTCCCAGTCAATGTGGCTCATTTCCTTGACTTTGAAGTTGTCATGAAGTTTCTTAATTGAGCTATCCTTAACTTGTGAGGTTAAAGGTTGCTCAAGGCTTTTGGGTGCTGGAAGCTGTCGCCGATGAGGAGCAGTGGGTTGGACTAGGCAGTCCTGAAGGGTGAGGAGAGGGGGGTGGTGGACCAGTGTTCTGTGCATGGACTCGGTCAGTTCGTTGCCTTAATGACATCTTCTTACTTATATAACTTAGTGTGCCATTTTGGAACTTGAATCCACTTTTTTTCAGTTTAAGGGATCTCAAGAGGATTTGTGAAATGACTATGTAGCTTCTAGCACATACATACCTGTGACCAGAGTGCTACCTACTGCCTGACTGCTGGTCCTACTACACCCAAAATTCTCACTAAAGAGGCAATCTCAGCCTCTCCCTAGAGGCACTGTGCATGTTTTAACCCATTCAGGAGGTGTTTTTTTTTTTTTTTTCAGTTTCTAGTTGAAAATATTCATCTGATTTCCATGGTGTCATCTAATCCTAGGCTTTACACAGGGTGATGTAGACTTAAGGCCCATATCTGTGTAAGTGGACAGGGTGTATATGCCTAGGAATAGATAACCTATTAGCCATCAGCTTTTGATTTTTTATATGCATGCAAATAATCAAAAGTAAAACTGTAGGTGTTCATTTTGGCAGCACATACACCAAAGTCAGAATTATGTGGAGAAGATTATTATGGCCCATGAAACAAAACCAAAAGCTGGAGCAGCCTAAGTCCTAGGAGTGGGTGGAAAGCTTTCTCTCAGTGGGGACAGTCCCAGCCTGCTGGGATAAGTGATAAAGCCCATTGATATAAGAAGGTTCTTTGTGCACATACTTTTCTATTTTAATATTTCTATTTCTATAGCACTCTATTTTAACAGGAAGTAATAAATATTGTTTATAATTTTTAAAAAATGAAAGAAAAGACCGGTTTATGGTGTATGTTAGACCAAAGAGGCATCAGTGAGATGAGGTTCAATGGCATTCCAGGCAGGGTAAATAATATGTACAAAGGGAGGTAGCAGATCTAGAGTTCATAGCATTGTGGGTAACCAGTTCTGATGGCATTAAGAAACCCTGAAACTACGTACTGGAGAGGAACTAACAGTTCTTGCTATAGTTAGAAGAATATATACATCTTAACTCATATTTCAATGCAATAATTATTCTTACTCATATAAAGCCTTTCTCCAAATCATATTCTAATTTTTCTACTGAATATCTTTTTAATAGAAATTTTTATTTAACAAATATAAATTTTTAAATATATATTTATTGATTCTTCTATTTATTTTTATTTTATTTTATTTGACAGATAGAGTTAGACAGTGAGAGAGAGAGAGACAGAGAGAAAGGTCTTCCATCTGCTGGTTCATTCCTGAAATGGATGCAACAGCTGGGTTGGACCAAGCCAAAGTCAGGAGCCAGGAGCTTCTTCAGGATCTCCATGCGAGTGCATGGGCCCAAGCACTTGTGCCATCCTCCACTGCCTTCCTGAGCCACAGCAGAGAGTTGGACTGGAAGAGGAGCAACCGGAATTGGAATCTGGCGCCCATATGGGATGCCAGCGACGCAGGCGGAGGATTAACCAAGTGAGCCACGGCACTGGCCCCAATAAATATAAATTTCAAAAGTACAACTTTTGGATTATAGTGGTTCTTCCCCTCATAACCACCCTCCCACCTGTAAACCATCCCATCTCCTACTTCCTCTCCCATCCCATTCTTCATTAAGATTCATTTCTAATTATCTTTATATACAAAAGATCAACTTAGTATATTACTAAATAAAGATTTCAACTGTTTGCACCCACACAGACACAAAATATAAGGTACTGCTTGAAGACTAGTTTTATCATTAATTCTCATAGCACAACACATTGACAGAGGTCCTACAAGGGGAGCAAGTGCACAGTGACTCCTGTTGTTGATTGAACAATTGACACTTTTATTTATGACGCCAGAGGCTCTTATCATGAGCTGTCAAGGCTATGGAAGCCTCTTGAGTTCACAAACTCTGACCTTGCTTAGATAAGGCCATAATCAAAGTGAAAGTTCTCTCTTCACTTCAGAAAAAGGTACCTCCTTCTATCTTTGCAGATCACTTTACCATGACCATTTTAAGAACATAGGGAATTATTTTTAGTAGCCTAACATTAAAGTTACTTCTCATGGGAAAACCATGTTGGACCATTATATATACATATATATACATATATATATGACATAGTATATCAACTGAAAACAAAAATTTCTTGAAAATGGCACCACTTTCTGTAATAAATAGGAAACACTAATACTTTCCTCCCAGTATAGTTGAATATTTTATATTAAGTAGGAATGTGTGTAGATATAGTGATTAATATCAATTTGTTGCATTCTCCTATGAGAGTCTATTCTAGAGCATTCTGCTCATCCTATAGGTTGTTAAAACATGTAACAGTTCATGGTCATGCTGGAAAACACAGAATGTTGGGGATGCAGTTGAATGGCCAGCTCCTTCCTAGATACCCACCAACTGGAGAAGCTGATTATCTCCTTGGTCAGAATCTGAAACTCATTAGGTTTTACTATGCAGCAGGACCACCGTATTGAAAGGTGATGTGTGGTCATGGCTTACTCTCTGCTCCAGCCTTTCCACCTGGCTCTGGGTGCTAAGTGATTCACTTAGCTGATTCAGGGGGGATGCAGCAGGAAGTTTTGCTTGGGCTTCTTGGTCTGAATTGTGCTTCCTGATGTGGCTGCATTTTACCAAGAAAAAGCCCCGCCTGCTGAGGGGCCACTGCCTGTGCCTGTGCAGAGCACCACTCAATTTCCTACCCAATTACTGTTTTTTTTGTGGTCGCACTCCTTCAGATAAGGACCCCACAGTGAGAATGGTAGGTTTAAGGCCCAGAATGAAAGTCTTTCACAAAATCATTAAGCTTTCTTCACAATGACAACTCTGGGACTCTGCAAAAGTCAATCATGGTTTTGAAATCATCCCTTTCATTATGATGGTGTAAAGCACTGTGGAAGGAACCAGAACATCCCTGAATCTTCAGAAACTCCTTTGTACTTTAAGAGCTATTTAAACATACAGAGGAAGCATAGGTTTCAGCAGTTTTTAACATGACCCATGGGCTTTCAAGACAGTTCCTAATTGGCATCTTTATGGGGTCCTATTAGTTTTAAAATATATGAGCATATTGGTTTGACTACTACCGCTTTAATAAAAGAGTATAATTTGTAGTTAAACCATGCAATTTTATGATTAAAAACATGCTGTTCTTTCAAAATTCAGTTTTTCAGGTCATCTCTGGTGTCCTGAAAGAGAGATGCATTCAATCTAAACTAATGAAACAGTGAGATTTATTGTAAAGACACTGTCCCAAGCAAATCCAAGGGAAAACAGTTCCTAGCCAGGTCATATGAAGGTGGTGAACCTGGCCAGTTCTGCAGTTCTCACGGGTAGAACGTTGGGGTCTTCTCTAGTTTGCTACCATGAATCTGGCTCAGGCACTAACTTACTCATTTGTCTCAGTTCAGTTATTTTGAGAGTGAGAAAGAAAATACTAGTGGTTCTTTTTGAGCAAGGTGACTCTATTCTGACCCTATCAGTTGAGGCCAAAGCGGTAAGAACATGTGAGCAAACACAGGCACGTGTGCCTACATTCTGGGTACAGCTGGTAGAAGATGCAGCTTCTCTCAGAAGAAAGTACAGGTAACAATGGAATGATGGGCAATTTTATTTTAATATACTTTAAAAACAGCCATTGATAACAAATTATTTCTGAGAAAATGCAATAATAACAAACAGGAGTGACTACTGTTGACAAAAATGAATTCATTTTTTGTGTTGTCACTTTATTTAATAGCTTAGTACATTACCTAAGACTGAAGTAAATCTTTCAAATTATTCTGCTCTAAATACAGATACAGACATTCATGGGTCTTTGAACCCTTATTGTATTACTAAATGAGTTTATATTTGGTCCAAGTTGATCTGCTAGTGTTTCATAGTTAGCCTTCAGAGTCTATAAAAGGAAGAAAAATGAAAAGCTGTTAAGTATTTTAAAAACACATTTCTAGCTTTTGTTGTTGTTAGCTTTTCCTTTGCTCCTCTCTTCCTTCTGTTTATTGGATTCTTATATTCAATCTGATTGGGAGAGGAAATATATGGGGAAATAAAACTACAAGATCATCATTAGGTGTTTTCATACAGCAGAACTACTTCTGGCCTCCTTCCTGACATCATGCCACTTCTGTGTGCAGTCTCCCTTGGCTTCTCACTCTGAACTGCATATGAAGCTATATTCCCAGCTCCATTTCTTTTCTTGCCCCTGCTTCTCCTCTGCGCACCAATTCTAATTCCACATGCTTAACCCCATTCCAAAACCCATCCTGCTGTACATTTTCAGAAAGGAAGATGTACTGGGTCATGTTTGTTTTACTGGACATTTGAATGGAAGTGTGGAAGTTTGGGTGGATATGCTGAATGGTCAGTCATGAAGATATCTACATCGTATGTTTTCATAAAATATTGGGGTGGTTCAGTTGTATATTTTAATTGTCTTTGTGTCCATGTTCTGAGTTACTCACTCTGAGGGAACCATTAAGTTCTTATTGCCATCGCATTGGTTATAAAAGAGGAAACTCTGTTCCAGAAGAGTTGGTGAGAAAAGCTGACTCCATGGGGAGGTGAGGGGAAAGTGCAAAAAGAATTGTATGGCAAAGAAACTAGACCCTCTATGTCGCTCCCCCTCTTCGTGGAGGAACGACACAGGACCCTGCGCTGTTCTTTTGTCTGCTCGGCCCTCCCCGGGTTTGCTGCTGGTTCTTCCCGGGTTGGCTGCCGTCCCTTCCACCTCCATGGAAGGGCGGTTCCCCCTGGCCACTTTCCCCACTTCCGCAGGGGAGCGGCACACCGCCGGCCGGCTCTCTCGGGGGCTGCACAGGTGTTCCCCTTAGATGTTCCCCTTAGATGTTCCTGGTGCATGTTGTCTCTCTCCTCCTTTATAGTCCTCCTCCACCAATCCCAACTCAGCTGCCCACACGCCGAGTACGCTGCTCTCCTCCAATCAGGAGCAGGATCAGCTCCTGGAGGTCATCACTCAAGTTGGCAAGAAGCAGCTGCGTAGAAGCTGTTTTCTTCTCTCCCAGCGCCATATTGTGGGAGAGCAGATGCATAGAACAAGTCTTAATTCCAGTAACTTAGTCTAGTCCGAGTTGCTCCCCACACCTCTACTACCCAAGTCCATTGTAGAATAAGAAAATATTCATTAACATTTATCCCCTACCATTGATGGATTCTTGAAGAAGTTTTTCAGAGGTAGTTTGAGGAATCATATCCAAAAAATCCACTACAATAAGTAGAGAATGAAAAGAATGGTCGTTAGGATTTAAAACACATCGATCTTTACATTTATTCTCATTTTCTCTTAGCTTGTTCGTTTCACTCTTAAGTTTCTCTGACTGCTTTGCTCTCTTAGGCATTTTCTATGGGGCCTCAATCCCACAGAATGGCTCGCCCATGATCCTGTGGACATCAAGAGCTTGTAGATGTCCAGCCAAACAGCTCAGTGCAGCCTTTTTATGATTTCCCTATGAAACCTTAGCTCTCAACAATATAAATCACTGGGTAACTTCTTGGTGCTTGTCAGCTTCCTTGTATACAGCTTCTTTCTTCGCAAAGAGAAGTAGCAAATGTAGAAATAGATTATTGTTTTTGATACATGATTTGCATAGGCAGATAAATATACAAGCTTCTCTATATATTTGCAAAAATATATATACATATATATAAATGTCAAATATATATGAATACACAATATACTAAGGGTCTTCAAAAAGTTTGTGGTACAGAAAATTATGCATAGATTTCAATTTTTGCTCCAAAATGAACTTATCTTTTATTTATTTATTTATTTATTTATTTTGACAGGCAGAGTGGACAGTGAGAGAGAGAGACAGAGAGAAAGGTCCTCCTTTTGCCGAAGGAGCCAGGTGCTCCTTCGGGTGCAGGGCCCAAGGACTTGGGCCATCCTCCACTGCACTCCCTGGCCACAGCAGAGAGCTGGCCTGGAAGAGAGGCAACCAGGACAGAATCCGGCGCCCCGACCAGGACTAGAATCCAGTGTGCCGGTGCCGCAGGTGGAGGATTAGCCTATTGAGCTGCAGCGCCGGCCTGAACTTATCTTTTAATTTCATTTTTCCATGAACATTTGAAGTACCCTTATATATTCCCAGATTTTTCCTGTTAAAGAGAATTCTGACTTGGTACTCCCAGTCTCTTGTTCTCACCAGCCTTTTGAGGAAGATCCTGTTTCACCATATTGGCCAATCTGGACTTTGTAAACAACTAAGTAGAAAAGGGAAAGTTGAGAAAGATAAGACACAAAGGGCTAGAGCTGAGATGACAGTAATTTGGGAGAGACTGACATTGAGAGTGATGTGGAAGCAGTTTCAATATGCAAAAAAAAAAAAATTCTGGCATTTTTATCTCACTTTCAAATTGTTTAGGAAGTATAAGAAACAGAAAGTAACTTATGAATGACTTTGGTTGCTGGACTATGATCTTCTGACTACATAGCATTCTCAAAGAATGACAACATGACTGACAACCATGACTCTCAGCACTGCAAAGAGTGTCTCTAAGTCCACTGACTTACCCTCTGACATAGCCAGGTCTTTTTCTTCGTCTGTGACTAAATCAGAATACAGACTATCTTTATGTTCTGAAACCAGAATCAAACAAACAAACACAGCTTTAGAATACAGCCAACAATCTGTGAGATGCTATAAGCCAGTGTCTTTTCAAACTTTGTTAATCAAGACTTAAAGTAAAAGATGCATTTTATATTATAGCCTCATATGTGCACTTTATAGATTCCAATAAAACAAAAAGTACCTGAAATAACACCATTTCTAATCTAGTTTTACCTGTTAAATGTTTTTTCTATTTATGTTTTTCTTCATATTCTACTCTAATTCATTGTGGGAAAAACTGGCATTTACATTTTATTTATTGATTTTATTTTATTTCAATGGGAAAAATGCTAGTTTTTAAATTGATTTCATTAAGCATTAATTTATTTTAGAACCCATGTAAAGTAGTGGAAATTGTATCCACAACATGGAAAGCACTATAAGAAGTTATATTTGATTCTAATGCTCATTCCACAATGGTCCCCAAAACAGCCTGAAATCAAGCCTATTTTCCCTATTTTATCTTCACTAAAGTACTTTACTTTGCCTAAGATTACAATTTGGTAGGGGGACTGAGAACCTAAAATTTTGATTAGCAGCTGAAATCTTTCTAACGAGGAATTGGGAACACATAATCTACATTTTGCCTTCTCATTCTTCATACTGGAAAACTGCCAGTTTCTTACTGGTTCTCACAATTTTCTCACAAGGACTTTAATGCTCTCAGTCTTTTCCTTAAGTATTGTTTAACAGTGGTTGGGCCAACTGTAAGAGCAATGTGCTGTTCAGATACCTAGAGCCACCATCTCACTGACCGGACCTCTAATAGACCTATTCTGTGGCTCAGCTCCCCCCACTCCTCTGTGTGGTGATTTGAGCTGATTGAGAGTAGATGATCCTCCTACCTTTCCAGTTTTACACATCCTTTTTGCACTGTCTGCTGTGGCTGAGCTTCCCTACTTACTGTCTTCTGAATAGCTTTAAACTTCCCTAGGTTTGTACTTCTGAACCACGTCTCAATCACCTGACATACCAGCTTCATCCATGCTCTTTTCCCTTTGATGGGATACCTTTAACAACTTATTTCCTAATCACTCCTCTGCTTGCAAACCTCCTTTCCACTAAACAGCATGTTTAAATACTTCTCATCTTTCTAGACCCAACTCCCATATCTGTCATCTCTCTAGAAAGCCTTTGCTAACACTCAGCCTTATGTTAGGAGACCACCTATGTGATCCCATTATACCTGGGCCTCTCTTTATCATAGCATTTACCTGTTGTGAATAGTCTCAATGTTTGTGTTCCCCAGATTCATACATTGAAATCTAAATCCCAATGTGATGATATTAAGAGATGGGGCCTATGCGGGGGCGAAAGGGTGGTGTTCTCATGAATGAGATTAGTGCTCTTCTAGAACCAAGGGTGAGTTTTGTCCTTTCCTACCATGTGAGGACACAGTGAGAAGGTACCCCTTTCAGAAGCTTCATTGGCAAAGTTTGAACTTGTACTTTCCTGCCTCTAGAACTGTGGGAAATCATTTTCTATTATTTCTATGCCCATTCAATTCATGGTATTTTTGTTGCAGTTCCCAAATAGATTAAGATATCCCTTGCTATTTCCTACACTAGACAAAGGTTGGGGGCCTTTTCAAGGGTAGGTATCAGTTTTGATTAACTTCTACGTGCCTAGCATCTAGCACAGTTACTTTTCTCCCTTCCTTCCCATTCCACTTTTTCCTTCTCTCTCTCTCCCCCTTCTTTCATTCTATGCTGATAAAAAATTTAATATGAAATTGACCTTCCTAAGAGATTTCTAAGCGTACAGTACACCACTGCTCAATATATGCAACTGTTGAAAGCAGCATATCTCTAGAACTTTTTGATCCTGAATATCTGAACCTGCACAGTTTCTGAATAAATACTATTTTTTTTCTCTTTAAGCATCTTAAGTGTCCAATAGATTTCAAGAAATGATTACATTTTCTCCATGAATTTCAACGATCTTTCTTTTTCTTGTAATTTTTTGGTTTCTTGTTAGATGCTTTCTTCCTTTTGACCTGCCTTACACTGTTTTATTAAGATTTTAAATTCAATGTGTGTCTTGGAATTTACATCTTAATAATCCCAATGCTTATTTTTCCTAGACAGTTTGTGTGGCTATAACTTCCATATTGTGTCCTGCAATGTCTCTCATAGCAACCAGCACAAAGAAGATGCTCAATGAACATCTGGTATTTTCCTCTGAAGATTTAAACAGACTTAAAATACGATCTTATTTTTGCGTATAGGATTAGAGTGATGAGTGACTTAATTCTCATTTCATGGCTAATGGATGATCAAATTCCTTTCTTTTAAACTGAATATTAACCCCCAGATAAAGTGGACATTTTCCTTTCATTTTTGTGTACCTACCATCTGAGACTCTTTGCTCATCTTGGTGGTCATCTATATGGGGTACAATGAATTCTTCATGTCTTTTGGATAAATCAGTTTCTAAAAGTCAGGAAATCAAGAATCAAATTATTTTAAGTGATTAAACAAGCCTCATACATGAATCACCTCATTGACATATTAACAAGAAGAGATCTCCAAACTGGAAGAAGGTACACAGCACTGACTATTTACACTGCTGTGGCTTTGAAATCTTGAAATAGCATTTTATTTATTTATTTATGCAGCAAGGTCCAAAAGTGACAGTCAGGACTAATCAAAATATGAGGTATGCTTGTATACCTTCACTTTTATTCATAAAAACACTGTAGCAAATCAAGCCATTTCTTTCACAAATTTCTCCATCATACAAGTATAGGTGGAAAATTTAGGACTAGCAATCAATGGAGTCAAATTTAGAATGACCGCATTGGAGTCCATTCTCATGAAAAGGATTTGTAGTCCTAGTCTGCTTTGCAGAAGCCGCACAGAGGGGCTCCGAATTCTGGGAACAAGAGTTGAAGTTTAAAGCAGTGTCCCCTTGAACTCCCACATATCTCTCTGTGCTTGCACCCTCTCCTTCGTGCATGCCTCTGGGCTTCTTTTAGTTTGACCTATTCCTGATATCTTGACCATCAGTCAGAATCCCATCTGAATCCCCAAAGTACATCCTCTGCTCACAACCTCTTTTCATCTAGGTCTCTGCCCATCATATTATTGCCTGTACTTCGATCCAACTAAACGGTCTCTGGTCTGCAACAATGGCCTTCCTTGGTCATCTGTCAATTTCTTAGTTCATTCTGACAGGCAGCTACTGTTTTAATTGGTTGGAATCTGTGTCATACTGGTTGTCAAATACTTTTTAGGAGATATTTTATTTTAAAGGATACATTCAATTTGGTAGTCTATTCTGAAAATAATTTAGTTCAAAACTGAAAAAATATGGGTTATAATTATCTATATTATTAGTGATTCAGTTATAACAAGTATTCTCAACCTCTTTTAATAGAAGTCCAATGAAGCACCACATCTGATTACCTGATTTATATGACTGAAAAGTTGGCAGGTCTCCAAGTGCAACAAGTTTCTCCTGTTGAAGAAAGTTATCAAAGACCTAAATGATCACAATTACCAACTTAAATTATCTTTAACAAAAAATTTCTTTGATTCTTGATTTTTAAATAATCAACAAATATTTTTTTTTTGACAGGCAGAGTTAGACAGTGAGAGAGAGAGAGACAGAAAGAAAGGTCCTTCCATTGGTTCAACCCCCAAATGGCCACTATGGCCAGCGCGCTGTGCCAATCTGAAGCCAGGAGCCAGGTGCTTATCCTGGTCTCCCATGCAGGTGCAGGGCCCAAGGACTTGGGCCATCCTCCACTACCTTCCCAGGGCACAGCAGAGAGCTGAACAGGAGCAACCAGGACAGAATCCGGCACCCTAACTGGGACTAGAACCCAGGGGTGCCGGCGCCACAGTCGGAGGATTAGCCAATTGAGCCGCGGCACTGGCCATCAACAAATATTTTTAACACACCAGAAATTATATGAGTAAATGGGTAGTGATCTTCTGCTGATTTCTTCAAACTTTTATTGCCCCATTACTTTTAGGAATAAGATGCAAATTAAACCCACAGAAAATCAATGTATACTTTGGCCTAGAAGAATCAATTTGAGGTTATCAGCAAAGTCAGTTCTCTTGCATTTATTCTGACATTACCTGAATCAGATCATTTGTCATTCTGGTCATTACTTGTTGACTTATTTCAATATCTTTGAGATCTGTAAGAACTACCCAAGTTCCCTTCTCAAATTTCACAGGCATGGAAAAGACAATCCCTTCAGGAATACCAAATTGGCCTGCAGTGAGCAAACATAAAGCAAAGCAAAAAAAAAAAAAAATGAAATCAGAAAAATAAATACTTTCTGGGGTTGGCATTGTGGTGTAGTGGGTAAAGCCACTGTCTGGGACCCTTGGTTGGTTCAAGTCCCAGCTGCTCCACTTCCTATCCAGTTCCGTGCTAATAACCTGGGAAAATCAGTGGAAGAGGGCCCAGTACATCGGCCCCTGCCACCGATGTGGGAGAACTAGTGGAAGCTTGTGGTTCCTGGTTTCATCCTGGTTCAAGTCTGGCCATTGCAGCCATCTGGGGAGTGAACCGGTGGATGCAAGATCTCTCTCTAACTACTTCTCCCTGTCTCTCTGTAACTCTGTCTTTCAAATAAATAAATATTTTTTTAAAAAAACCACTTCCTGTTGAGCATTATAGACAGACATCATTATAGGACAGATACAATACATGACCTTTAATGATAATGATAGAACTGAATTTCTGAGAATTCTTCTCTGGGGAGCACCAAAGCAGTCACTCTGCAAGCATTGATTGAGTACCTATCCAAGTTTGGACAATTGTTCCTTCTGTATTTCTCCCAAAATCCAGGCCCTAAGGCAGTCTTTCTTTACTAAAGCTTGCGTGCATTCTTCTTGTTTGTTTTCATAGCTTTTCCTTGCCCTGCTTCCCACCCACACACACATAGGTGTCATTTGTTCAATCTGACCCTCCACTCTTCTCATCTACCATGGCAGTCACACAGCCAGGCTATGTTGGATGGGACAGGGAAGAAAACTGCAGGCAGGAAGGCTGGCTATTTCCTTGCAGCCCCCAGGTCTCCATTTGGATGTTCTCTAAATAAAAAGGTTCACAATATTTATTATTAACTGAGCATCGTGCACATAAAGTTGCCCCCCCATTTGACACCTTAATAACATAAGGAAATTATTTCTGCCATTATGGACACTGAAAATAGTTACTAGAGTAAGAAATTGATGACAGACAGGAAATCAGGATCCATCAGACTTCCCAAGACAGCTCCCCAGTCTTCTGTTCATTCTGTTTCTGTTTCATCTACGAAAAACTGGCTATCTGGGTAATGTGTGAGAATTCACCTGTAGAGTATGGCTTCAGGTAGGCAGAAAGTGATCCTTTTCTCTCCAGTATAACACAGGTCTCTTTTTCTTTTTAGCAACTCAGGGAAGCAATATTGATGACTAAATACCAAGTGATAGGACATCCACACAATCATCCACGTGATTTTTATACTCTCTCTATTAGTTTCCACAAATACAGGAAAATGTGATATTTGTCTTTTGGGTCTGGCTTCTTTCACTTAGAATAGTGATCTCCAGTTGCAGCCATTTTGTTTCAAATACGAAGATTCATTCTTTTTTATGATTGAGTAATATTTCATCAAATATATACATATATCATATATAACAAAATGTATATCTCTCACATTTTCTTTGTTTAGTCATAAGTTTATTTATTTATTTTTTGACAGGCAGAGTTGGTGAGAGAGAGAGACAGAAAGAAAGGTCTTCCTTTTTCTGTTGGTTCACCCCTCAAGTGGCTGCTATAGCCCATGTGTTGCGGCCGGCATGCTGCGCCGATCCAAAGCCAGGAGCCAGGTGCTTCCTCCTGGTCTGCCATGCAGGTGCAGGGCCCAAGGACTTGGGCCATCCTCCACTGCCCTCCCGGGCCACAGCAGAGAGCTGGACTGGAAGAGGAGCAACCGGGACAGAATCCGGTGCCCCAACCAGGACTAGAACCCGGGGTGCTGGCGCTGCAGGCAGAGGATTAGCCAAGTGAGCCGCGGCGCCGGCCTCAGTCATCAGTTTATAAACATCTAGGTTGGTTCCATATCTTTGCTATTGTGAATTGAACTGCTATAAAAATGGGGGTGCACGTAACATTGTTTTTGAAATTCCTACAAAGTTTAACCAAACTTTCTATAAACAACGATAAAGTGTCTATTTTCCTAAAAAGATTGAATGCTGATTTGAATTCAAACTATGGCAGTCTTCATGCACCTTAACTTCAATTGAACAACATTCACTGAGCATCCATCATATAAAATTCAGCTCTTGGCAAGGAGCTTAAAGATGAGCCAGCCAAGAAGTGTGCCAGGAGATTCCAATACAATCCCATCAAGATTACATGCACCAATGCCATCTCACTAGTCCAAGTGATCAACTTCAATTCACAATTGATCACACTGATAGGTCTAAGAGTCAAAGGGATCACACAAACAAGACTAGTGTCTGCTAATACTAACTGATAGAATAAAAAAGGGAGAGAACAATACAACATGGGAAGCGGGATATGCAGCAGACTCATAGAATGGCAGATGTCCTAAACAGCACTCTGGCTTCAGAATCAGCCCTTAAGGCACTCAGATCTGGCTGAAGAGTTCATGAGAGTATTTTAGGCATGGAAAGCCAAGACACTCTGGCAAAAAAAAAAAAAAAAAAAAACACACCTAAATGAAAGGTCTCTGTGAGTGAGATCCCAGTAGAAAGAATGGGCCATCAAAGAAGGAGGTACCTTTCTCTGAAGGGAGGAGAGAACTTCCACTTTGACTACGACCTTGTCTAAATAAGATCGAAGTCAGCGAACTCAAGAGGCTTCCATAGCCTTGGCAACTCATGACTAGAGCCTAGGGAGATTTCTGACGCCATAAACAAGAGTGTCAAATTGTTAAGTCAACAACAGGAGTCACTGTGTACTTACTCCTTATGTGGGATCTGTCCTTAATGTGTTGTCCAATGTGAAGTAATGCTATAACTAGTACTGAAACAGTATTTGACACTTTATGTTCTGTGTGGGGGCAAACTGATGAAATCTTTACTTAATATATACTAAATCAATCTTCTGTATATAAAGATAATTGAAAATGAATCTTGATGTGAATGGAATGGGAGAGGGAGTGGGAGATGGGAGGGATGCAGGTGGGAGGGAAGTTATGGGGGGGAAAGCCATAGTAATCCATAAACTGTACTTTGGAAAATTATATTTACTAAATAAAAGTTTAAAAAGAAAATATATATATATATATATTAAGATGTGCCAGTCAAAGTCTTTGCTCTCAGGGTGTAGACAGTCTACAAAAGGGGACACAAGCAATTAAGTCAGAAACAGGCACACTCCAATATGCTCTCTGAGAGAGGAGCAACATTTTTTGTGCCTGTCAGATTAATTCTGACTGGGGGACTTTGGGAGATGTCCTTGATTCGCACGGTAATCACAAACCAATGGGAAAGATGGAGGTCCTACTAAGGACATAAGGAATACAGGAGGTGGGCCAGATTGGGGAGGAAGACAGTTCAGTTTGGCATATGTGGTTTGAAGTGGCAGCCCGACATCCAAGCCCACTGTATCCCAGGCTAGAGCTCTGCAGAGAAGCCCAGATCTGTCAGCTAAGGAAGCCCGTAAAACAAGAAGGGAAGACATGCTGTGCATAGAATCTCCGGGGCACAGAACATCAGCTATTCTCTTTTGTACTTTGGAACAAAGATAGATGTTTTGTGAAGAGATTTTAGTAGATCAAAGCTGAAGCTTGTAAACACTTACATACAGTGTCTGGGGGTGCAGGGTGCCCTTTCCACATTTCCTGTGCTGCCGCACCCTAAGGTCTGGGTCCTGATGTGTGCCACTTTGAACCCTGCCTGTGTGCCTTGGCTCTTGGGGGTTCCTGTGTCCAGCATTCACCCCACACTGACCTCCAGACCAGCACAACTCAGACTTTAAGGTTTCCTGCAGTGTCATCTCCTTTATGAAGCCCATCTTGATGCCTCCTGCTTTCTGCCTACAAGTGACCTTGCTTTTGTTTGATCTGCAGAGTACAATGAGGCAAACCTAACGGGACTATTTAATTTATGCATCTGGCACTCCTTCACCCTGCAGTAAGTTTCCTGAAGGAAGAGGGCAGTTCTAATTCCCAAGTATGATTCCAATTCATTCAAACAAAATACTGTTGAATTTCTGAATGGATGGTTGAATGATTATGGAACTGTGGGGTCCACATTAATTTCAGACAGGTAAGGACACAGAAGAAGAACCACAAGGCACAGATGGAAGTTTAAAAATATTTATGAAAGACCCATATTTACCTTCACTCAATACTCCTAAAGACACAATCTCCCCAGGCGGTGAGCCATGGTACCAGTATTTCAATGTGGTGGCTATACTGTGTGCAGCTAAAATGCCTCCGAAGTGTCTTCCTGTGACACTCAAAGTTTTCAGAGTTTCCACAAATTCTTTTTTTACCCACTCACTGTAAGGAGAGAAAGAAATAATTTACAGTGGAGGGTGGAATGGAAATGAAAAGGGATGCTCCCTGGATCAATGGAATTCACTATAAGAAATCATACCCACAATTAAATTAGAAACATTTCTTGGTGTGCCTTTTCTTTAAGTGTCTTCAGTACGCATAAAAGGTAGATTGAAAAATACTGCTTTGTGGCAGAGAGAAATCCCTAAATTTGAAACTACAAACATAATAATATTAATATGGAACACAAAAAAGTAGTCAGGACTAATGAAAATTCTTGCATTACAAAGAATTTGTCCCATGTAGATGTTATCTTTGAACAAGTGATATCCTTTATTTGAAATAAAACAATTTCATAAACATTGAATTATTCCTATTGAGAATTAGGGAAAGAGTTATATTTCTATGTTCTGAAATCTAAACTCAGCGAAAAGGCCTGCAGGACTAGAGCAGGTGTTAAAGTACCACCTTACTAACCCGGCGTGCAACACTGGCTCTGCCCTAGGAAGGTGAACCCAGGACCCATCATTTCCTAGGCATGATGTAGTTCTAAGTCTAAGGAGGAGAAGGAAAGTAAGATAAGGCTAAGGGAAGCTATAACTGGGAATGTGCAACAAAGTTTACAAAAATGCTTCGAAGGTGTTCTTGCCCGTTTCTCTTCCTCTGCTCATCATAATGCCAGTGTTTAGGACGCAGCTCTGAATGCTCTATCTGTATTAATCCATTTAGTCCTGCCAATGACCTTATCCATATGTTACCATTTCCACCTTGCAGAGGGAGAAACTGAGGCATGGAGAGATTAAGTAATGTTTCTAATGTCACATAGCTAACAAGTGGCTGAGTGAGAATTTCCTATCCAGGTGGCCTGGTCCTAGGATTGTCCTACTTACCACCTCTCAATGCTGTCTCTCCTGGGACAGAACAGCAGCATGGCCCAGAGTGCTCATCATCTTATTGCTTTTTCTCCAAATGTTTTAACTAATTTCAACATGGAGGCAAATCTCTGGCTTTATGTTAAATAAGATTTCCTTCATATATGCTTGCTTTAGACATAACTTTAAGGGAATATATGAATGACTTTAAGTTACAGTTACTTTTCTTTGGGGATATGCTCCAGGATCTCCAGTGGATGTCAGAAATTAGACAGGAGCCAATGTGTGGTGCCACAGGTTAAGCCGTTGCTTGCAACGCTGGTGTCCTGTATCAGAATGCCAGTTTGAGTTCTGGGTGTTCTGCTTCCCAGCCAGCTCCATACTAATGTGCCTGGAAAGGCAACAGATGTGGCTCAAGTATTTGGCGGTCACCCATGTGGGAAATTTGGCTAGGGTTCCAGGCTCCTGAATTCAGCCTTGCCCAGTTCTGGTTGTTGCCACCATTTGGGCAGTGAACTAATGGACAGAAGATCTCTCTCTGTCTCTGTCTCTCTCTCTCTGCCTCTCTCTCTCTTTACTTGGCCTTTCAAACAAACATAAATCTTTAAAAAAAGAATCTGAAGATAGTACTGGATGCTTTAAATATATAGTGTGTTTTTTCCCCTATACATACTTCCCCTATGGTAAAGTATAATATAAACATTAGGTACAGTAAGAAGTGAAAAATAATTAATAGTTAAAAAGAACTAATAATATAATAATGAATAAAATAATAATATAATGTAATAAAGCTCATGTGAATGTAATATTTTTGTTTCTTAAAATTTTCCATTTAATATTTTGGACTGCTGTTAACCATGAATAACTGAAACCACAGAAAGTGAAACCATGGGATAGGGGAGAGTACCATAATCTGAAATAAAAGATTCATAATTTCAAAACCAAATAAATTGAGGGTAGAGAATGACTAACTGATATTCTGCAGTTTCCTATATTTCTTTAGTAGAGAACAAGAACAAATAATGAGCAAAGATTTCTAAGATTTTAAAGATGATAGCGATTATTGCCCATTTAACATTGCTAACAGCATCACTTAAAAACATACCGTACCTGTCAAAAATCAAGCTTAAAACAGGCTGTGAGTAATGAGGAGGTCCACAAATGGCACTCTTGTAGTTGTATACCTTAGCTTTCCTCAGATCAATGTAGTTATTTCCACTGATATTACCCCAAATTATCACATCTTTGATGTCTGTGAAGAATAGAAATGAAAATCAATTACAACAAAATATATTAATATAAAATGGTGTCTGAAGCCTACTTCTTGTTTGTATGTTTATTCCTTCTGATATAAAAAGAATCTAAGTATATTCCCTAAATCCATGTGAGTGCTGTGGGTACCCACCATAATCACCAGCATTTGACTCTTCATAGTGCTCTGTGAATGGTATGGATATATGATTAAGTTCAAAGAAATGTTTTCTGAAAGAAAAGAAATTCCTACCAAAAGTTCTCCTATTGGCGTTGGTCCTAACTTAATTATTTTGCTTGACAGAGGTAGGGGGGAGCTTTTTACTTTGATTTTGACAAGGAGTCCTTGATTGTGGACTGGAGTAGAAATTTGGGAAACCACTTAACTCTCCAGGTGGGTTTCATCCTCTGTGATATGAAAGTGTTACAACATGAGGACCCTATGGGCTGATGCTGTGGTACAGCAGGTTAAAGCCCTGGACTACAGGGCTCCCATATGGGTGCTGGTTAAGGTCCCAACTGCTCCACTTCTGATCCAGCTCCCTGCTGGTGCACCTGAGAAAGCAGCGGAAGATGGCCCAAGTCATTGGGCCCCTGAACCTATGTGGGAGACATGGAGGAAACTCCTGGCTCCTGATCAGCTCAGCTCAGTCCCTCCTCCCCTTTTTTTAACTGTGAGAGTAAGCTGGGAGCATAAGAGCCTGGGGATGCCAGTGGCCATCTTGTCACATCTTAGAGCTGGCCTGAGTATAAGACCAACAGTGAGGACGGCAGAGATCAGGGATAGGCCAAGGGAAGGCACAAGCATGTCCTGGTGTCATCATTTAAACCCCAGCATCTAGTTATGCCTGAAATAAGAACAGTGTCTTCTGCTCATTAGTTATGTGAAACAGAAGTCATCTAGAGGACTTCACTTAGAGTTCACTTCCTCTCACTTGCCATGGAAGGAGTTTCAACCAAGCCATGCTCTGAGAATTAGTTGTAGCTGGGGCCAGTGCCATGGCTCACTTGGTTAATCTGCCTGCGGTGCTGGCATCCCATATGGGCGCCTGGTTCTAGTTCCGGTTGCTCCTCTTCCTGTCCAGCTCTCTGCTCCAGCCTGGGAAGGCAGTGGAGGATGGCCCAAATGCTTGGGCCCCTGCACCTGCATGGGAGACCAGGAGGAAGCACCTGGCTCCTGGCTTCAGATCAGCGTAGCTCCAGCCATAGTGGCCATTTGGGGGGGTGAACCAGCAGATGGAAGACTTTTCTCTCTGTCTCTTTCTCTCACTGTCTAACTCTATCTGTCAAATAAATAAATAAATAAATAAGAAATAGTGGTAGCCGTGGGACTGATCTTTGGAGGATTTCTTGAGCTTTGCTTTTCTGGAAAAGTTTACTACCAGCTTGGTTTCTGAATGATCCCTGGATGATTTCCTTGGTGGTTTTTCACTTTCATGTCATTTTGTTCAACTATTTTTTTGTTGTTGCTGAGTTTCTCCTTGCTGTTACATTGACAATTCTAATTTGACCATCGTTCACCAATGCCTCTTTCTTTTTCCTAACTTTCTTTCACTTTTATTTCTGATTTTCACATGCTTATTGGCTTGGAGTAGAGCACAGCTTAGAATTATGGTACTTGCAGACACATAAGAGAGCAGCTTTCTGGTGGAAAGCCCTTAGTCCCCTCTCCCCATCCCACCTACTTTGCTTTAAAATTTGTATCATGGCCTTTTAACACTTTTTTATCAGGGTACTATAAGAGTTTTTGTGATATGTAAATAACTATCTAAAAGGTGATGACAGACAAAATGGCTAGAAAAATGTTTTCATTTCCTATTGCATAATTTCAGAATCAATTTGTCTCAATCTTACAGTGACTCCAGAGTAAAATACAAAAGATACATATACAGAAATAACAGAAGTTATAATTTCTAGGCCTTCATTGTAAAAAAAAAAGGGGGGGGAGATAAGGTAGCTCTCATTGTGAGATCAGGGCCTTACAAATAGTCATTGATGCTGAAGTCTGTTGTCACCTTGACCAACAGCATTCTGTGATCACATCTCGAGATACCTCTTTCCATTCTCAGTGGACTCTCCATCTAAGGGCACAGATAGCCAACATATGTCCAATGTGATCTTCCGTTTTTGGATGCAGTCTCATCTTCATATGATTCTGATGTCTAGCAGCCCAAAGACTGACAGCGGCACAAGCTGATCTGGTATCAGAGTTCTAACATTCCTGGGGATGTTAACCAGGTGCCAGGGATGCTTCTAAGTACTTTAGGAACACTGAATCCTTGCATCCATTGCAGAAGGTAGGTGTTGCTAACATCCTCATTTAACAGATGAGGAAACTGAGGCACTAGCATGCTTACACAGACAGGAAGTGGGGCAAAGCCACTTTAAAATAGCCCTGTTTCCTTTTTAAAAAAATTATTTTTATTTTTATTTATTTATTTATTTTTTTGACATGCAGAGTGGACAGTGAGAGAGAGAGAGAGAAAGAGAGAAAGGTCTTCCTTTGCTGTTGGTTCACCCTCCAATGGCCGCCGCGGCTGGCGTGCTGCGGCCGGCGCACGGCGCTGATCCGATGGCAGGAGCCAGGTGCTTAGCCTGGTCTCCCATGGGGTGCAGGGCCCAAGCACTTGGGCCATCCTCCACTGCACTCCCTGGCCACAGCAGAGGACTGGCCTGGAAGAGGGGCAACCGGGACAGAATCTGACACCCCGACCGGAACTAGAACCCGGTGTGCCGGCGGCGCAAGGCGGAGGATTAGCCTAGTGAGCCGTGGTGCCAGCACCCTGTTTCCTTTTAAACAACATTGATAACCTTACTTGAACATTATCATAAAAAAAGGAATATTAGGATTCAAATGATTTGACTCATAGAGATCTTATATTGAATATTTGTTTATCAATTGTTATAAGGATAGAAAAAATCAGTTAAAGGCCAGTTAAGAATGTTTGTGGACACAGTTGTCCATGATTTTAGTTACCTACAGTCAAGTGTCTTAACATTACATAGAAAATTCCAGAGTTAAAAAAAATCACTTTATACAGTATGTGGTTGTACTTGTTCTATTTTCTTTTTGCTAGTGCTTGCCTTTAATCCCTTACTGTACCCAACTTACAGATTTATTCTAAGTATGTATGTATGTATAGGCAAGAGGTATACAGAGGGTTCAGTACTATGGCTTCGTCCTAGTCTAGATTCCAGAATGCTTCTGGAAGGAGCGCTCTTCCTAGCTGCTTCCTAATCACGTTGTTTGAATACAAAAACAAACATACACAAAGGCGTCCACTCACAGGCGGGTGTTGTTCTCAATTTTCTGGCCAGCGCAGCTTTAGCTTCACCTTCCACGCCCATCGCCACTGCGATCATGTTGCGCGCGATGTTTGGGGCGAATTTCATAAGCAAAACGGTTTTAAGATTCACGAAGCTTTTGCCTCCCACAATAACTCTGACAGAGGCGTGGGCGTTTTTCTCCATCAGGCCCCCGTAGCGTCGGCAGAGGGGCACCCTGCTGCGGAGGCAGTCCTCCAAAGTGTACACCTCCCCGTCCATGTGTTCATCCAGAATGATGACTACTTGGGCCCCACGGAAGGCCTCCTCCTCCTTGGTGCAGATGGAGACCTTGTGGAGCAGAGGTGACGCTAGGTCCTCCGCCTCAATCACCAGGGCTTTGAGACGTTCTTCCACGTGCTTGCTGCCTAGTAGCACCAGGCTAATTTCCGTCTGCATCCCAAACACTTCTCCACTTGTCAGCATGGGAATGAGGTGGTAGCAGGCAGGAGTAGTTGCACTAATCAGAATGCAAAGGCGGGTTATGAATGATTGGATTATTTGCCTTTCAATGCCTTTATTTTTAAGATACTTCTGTATGTGCATTAATAGGGTGATTTACTATTATTATCATTAGTATTTATTTGAAAGATTTATTTATCTGAAATTAAGAGAGGGAGAGACAGTGGCTGCAATGGCCAGGGCTGGGCCAGATCAAAGCCAGGAGCCAGGAGCTTCCTCTGGTCTCCCACGTGGGTGCAGGGGCCAAAGGACTTGGGCTATCCTCCATTGCTTTCCCAGGCATATTAGCAGGGAGCTAGATCAGAAGTGGAGCAGCTGGGACTTGAACTAGTACCTGTATGGGAGGACAGCACCGCAGACTGAGGTTTAACCTGCCACGCCACGCTCTGGCCCCTATGATTTACTAGTTTTAGTAATCATACACATAGCTGCATAGCCATTTTATTTAAAGGCTAGACATCAAAAGCAAAACAAAAACTCTCACTAATCTCCCCTTGCTCTGGCCATCTGAAAATAATCACACAATATGTAATTTAGCTGTCTTACAAGGGCTTTCCAAATAGAATAGAAGCCTTGGTCTTCAAAAAGCAAAACTTCAAGGAGCTGTATCCCATTATTCAAATAACATTTTCACATTCCCCTTTGAAGACATGAAGATGTAAGTTTGATAGCCATAGCTCGCTTTTACTTTATACTTTCATCAATAAGGTAGTAACTCTTTTGGAAAGGACTATCTGTTCCAAATTCTCACAAAGGCAAATCCTTATAAAGATGGCTGGGGTGAACACTGTCTGCATATCATATGTCTGTAACCACAGTTCAGCAAATATGTGGGCCCTTTATAGCTATGCTGACCAACTGTGAGCAGAAATGACTCCCTGTGGGGAATTCAAAAGTACATCTGGATATTTCTGGTATTCACAGTGGTTCCAGGGAAGGGCTACAATGGGGGTTTCAACAGTATCTACGTCATTTCAGTCCTTTGAAAGGTATCTAGATAACACATCAGATTTATTAAATCAGGGTGATAGGGTCATGGACATTTATTGCATCATTCTTAATTCTTTCCTATATTTGAAATATTTCATAATAACAACCTTTTAAATGAGTGTATATATACATATATTAGGATGCACACATGTAGGGAGAAGGATAGTGTTAGAAACAGACTGAGGGGTGGATAGAAGAGAGGGGAAGGAAAGAGAGTAAGACAAAGAGAAAAATGACAACACAGGCTGCAGGTGTCCCAGACTGGGAGGAAGGAAGAGCAGAGGTGAGAAGAGGCAAAGTACGGGGAGTGGGGTTCAGAGTGTGCATGAGTGCACTAGGAAGAGCCAAGAAAAATGCTGGAAGTGGGAAAGAGGGAAAGAGTGACAGAGAGTGGACTATCAGGGACAGAGTTATGCAAAGTAGCATGCATGTGTGTAGTATATAGTATATAATATCTAAAACTCACACATGGGGCTATATTGGAGGCTATGTATAATTACACACAGACACACATGGGGTTATTTACATGTGTATAAACACACACACTCACATACCTGTACATATATGTATCTCAAATTTGACATTCAGGTATTCTTTCACCCCCTTTCATTTTCCTTTCTATCACAAAGCCAATCTCACAAACCCTGGGGCGTGACTGTCCCACCTGGTGATCCAGACCTGCAAGGGGCTGACAAGATCTTTTAGGGATTTTTCCTCCACCTCTTTTTCTGTATGTGCCTTCAGGTTCTCCTTAGCAATCACCATCATCAGCTGAGTTGACATGCTAGAGGTGACTCCATAGTAAAGCTAAATATTGGAAAGAAAACGTTGGCATTGAAGAATAGATAACTGGCTGACAATGGCAACAATCGAGAGTTTTTTTTTTTTTTTTGAAGACAAAGTGGCACAGAAGATGAGAGAATGTCCCAGAGAACAAGATATTTAAAAAATAAAGTAACAGAATGATAATTTTTGAACAGGTAAAGCAATCTATTACCTGGGCGTGCTCTAGGAATTCATTATATCCTCCCAAAAGCAAGCCCTTTCCACCACGATCCAACAGCTCTCTCCAGATGATGGGGGATGTTTTGTGACTCCACTTATTCTTTTCACACACACCTCTCAGCCACTCCTGCAGAACGAATTCCAAGTGAAGGCATATATCAAACACTAAAATACTAACTTGTTTGGAATTCTGCTATGCACACACAGTACAATTTAAATATCTTTAAGTAGTAAAATGCAAATATAGAAAATATTGATGAGTTAAGGAAAAAGTTCACCAGAGAAGGAAGAAAACTTTTCAAATTCCTTAACCACAAAAAGGTACTGAAAGTTACTTTTTGGGCTGAGGAGACCTGAAGTGTAATTGTTTAGTTATGAAGAGAGGCCAGTGTTCCAATTTTATTGATATCAAGAAAATTGATTGAGCTTTCCTTTATTCTTCTTATAAATGAGATATTTCCAGTCTTAGGGCCATGTACATTTTCATATTGCTTTTTCAAATCTGTGAAAATAGTTTATTTAGTTCAGCATGAGTTAAAAAGCTAAATGTTAACTAAGGACTTCTGATATTTTTGAAATACTTGTAAATAGATTTATTTGAGTTTTTGGTTTATATTGTACTAATATGTGATGTTGAAAATAGAGTAAGCTGGGTGTGGTTTATAGACTGTGACAAATGTAGCATACTAAGATATTACTAGGGAAAGCTGGATTTAGAGTATATAGAAACTCTTCATACTATGTCACAACTTTTTTTGTAAATTTAAATAAAGTTAAAACAAGAAAAAAGTATTTGAGAAGCATGGAAAGAGAGATGGGAGAGAGAGCGAGAGCGAGAGCGAGAGAGAGAGCACTTCTATTTGCTTATTCACTCCCCAAATGACTGCAGTGGCTGATGTTGGGCTAAGACCTAACCTTGGTTTCCTACAAGAGTGGCAAGAACACAGTATCTTGAACCATCACCTGCTTCCTCCCATGGTCTGCATCCAAGAAGCCAGAGTCAGGAGCTAGAGCTGAAAATTGAACTAGGCTTTTCAATTTAGGACATGGATATCTTACCTGGCATCTTAACTACCTGATTTATGATAATACTTATCAGAAGCTTAAATAATTACTTCTGGTCTGTGTAAACCAGGCTTCCAATGACAATATCTGAGGAGACACAGGGAACAACACTGTTATCAATAAAGTACAGGGCAGCGGTCTTGAAAATCATGGCACTGGAGGCATGTGTAATGAGCTTACTGTAAAAGTACAATCTTAGTAGTTAATTTCCCTTGCTTGTATTGAAGATCTGTCTGCCTTTATCTCACCATAAAGTAAACAGTGCGGCCATGAGGATCCCTCCACGGTCCCTCTAATCACATCATAGCCTGAACAGTAGTGCTAAGCCTATTGAGGAAAGGGAATCTGTCCCAAAGGACCTTCAGCAGCAAGCACACCATCTTGATATCCTGGCAAGAGCTGGGAGAACATGCGCTTGGCTGGGGCCTGAGAAGGCTGGATCAAGAGTAGAGCATAATGTTGGGTAAGAGTGAATTGTGAGCATGAATCATTCTTCTGCGATTCATGAGTGCCTACCCTCGTAGGGAGCTGAGAGGATAGTGGTTGCTGGACTGATTCACAGAGGCTTGGAGAAAGAGATGCCTCACATTAGAAAACACAGAATTCCCATGGAGAACAGTGAAAGAAGGAATCAAAAAGCAAGTGGATGGAAGGATGAAGATCCTTCCATGGAAAGAGGGAAAATCTACTAGTCAACCATGTTCTCAGAAAGGGCCTGGAGGACTCCATTTATCAAAGTGATAAGAAACACTCTGGTGAGAGGGCCCTGGTATCACTGAGAAACCTGGTATGGCTGTCCATTCAAGGCCGGGTCTATTACAGAAATACTGTCATAGAGCTGGACTTCCTGGCAATGGAGAGGATAAAACCCAGAAAGAATCCAAGAGATAGTATCTACCAGAAAATATCTATTGTAAAAGACGAGATGAGATAACTTAGATGAATGAAGGCACAATGAATTTACAATAGACACAAAAGGCCATGCAACAACCCAAGGTAATGGGTAACCATTCACCGAAGCCTATCCAGTTGTTGCTACTACTAAATAGTGAATGTGTCAGCAACAGAGACTAACGCTGACCCTCTGATAATGGCACCATCCTTCAAAGACATCCAAAGTCTCTTGGTAGCATGTTGATTACATGGAACTCCTACCCTGTAAACAGCAGTGATTGACCTTGATTTGAATCAATATATATTTTGGTAAAGCAATGTCTTTCCAGGGTGGGCATTTGGCATAGCAATTGGGATGCCTCTTGGGACTCCCACATACCATATTGGAGTTTTTGAGTTGGAGTTTCAGCTCTGCTTCTGATTTCAGCTTCCTGCTGGTGTACACCCTTGGGGGCAGGAGGTGAAAGGTCAAGCACTGGGCCTCTCTGGCTCATGTGGGAGATTCAGATTGGGTTTTCAGCTCCTGGTTTCAACCTGGCCTAGAAGCCCCAGCTGTTTTCAGTGTTTAAGGAGTGAACCAGTGGATGGGTAATCTCTCTCCCCCTACCCACTGATACCTTCTTCCCCTGTATGTGTGTCTCCCTATCTCTCTGCCTTTCAAATAAAATTAACTAGTTCATTAAAAGAAAAAATAACTGCCTTTCTTGATTGTAAGACTTTGTCCAGGAACCTGGGCCAAGAGCTTACAGAATGTTTAACATACTGCTAACATAAAGATCATGGGTAGCATCACTTCAAACCAAGTGGCCCACTTTGTAGCAAAAGAAATGTGGCTTTAGGTACATAACGATGGGATCCATTGGTCCTCTCATATATCACATCATACAGCCTGATATAAGGGTGAAATCAAAATTAAAGGTTCCAGCTTGGAGCCTGATACCTTTACAAGGATGGGAACTTCTTAAAGGATGCAATATACACCATAAATTAATATAGTGTTTTGTCCCAATAGGTAGACTATATAAGTCCAGGAACAAAAGAGGAGAATTGAGTGACTCTGTTTACCATCAGTTCCAGTGGCCCACTTAGGGAATTTATGCATCCTAAATCCCCATCAAGCTAGAATGTATGGTTCTATAGGTTCTAAATCACAAGGGGCAGTGCTTCTACCAGGGATTACAGAAAGAGTGTCTTAAACATTGAGCTGTGGCTTCCACTTGATCACTTTGAGCTGCTGTGCCCAAAAAATAGTAAACAAGGACAGGGCTTACTATGCTGGCAGGTGTTATTGGACCTGATGTCCAGGGGTGTGTGGGGCATTGATTACTGAACATAGGTGAGAAAGGGTATTTAGCATCTAGGTTATCCTTGGGAATCTTTGGTACTGCCTACCTAATTTTGAAAACAAATGCAGCAGTAACATCCCCAAAAGGGAACAGAGTGTCTGGCACTGTGGTGCAGCCAGTTAAACCACTGAATGTCAGCATTCAGTATCAGAGGGGCAGTTCAAGTCCTGGCTGCTCTACTTCTGATCTAGTTCCTTACCAATTCCCCTTGGAAAGCAGCAAATAATGGCCCAAGTGTTTCAGTCCCCACCAGCCACATAGGAGACCTGGGCTCTGGGCTTCAGCTTGGCCCAGCCCTGGCTGTTGTGGCCATTTCAGGAGTGAACTAGTGGATGGAAGATATTTCCATCTCTCTGTCTCTATCTCTGTATCCCTCTCTCTCTACCACTTTGCCTTTCAAATAAATAAATATTTTAAACAATGAATAGAAACTAAGTCTCAGTTTTCTTAAGGATGCATATGTAGGTTGCCATACTAATAAGCAACCTAGATCAACAGAGAATGCAGGGGAACAGATAGTAGAAAAGAAAGGTGATGAGTATCAGTTTGGCATGAAACTTTGTATGGTGGAGATTATGGTTAATCTGACTAACCTTCTGCTTACAAAGTCTCCCTAGTGTCAGATGCCAACCAGAATCCTGGAGGAGCTGTCACCAGATGGTGTGAACTTAGTATAGAGTATGTGTATCCAAATGACACAACAGTGGGACTGTAGGAGATGATATCGGATGTAGAGGGCACCAGGGCACTTATGCTCTCGGCCACCAGGTATATTGGCTGCTGATGGCTCCGTGCTGGGAATCTCTCTAGGCATAGTTTTTCAATAATGCTCTTTCCATGTTCTTTTGGAAGATTTTGTATATTCATTTATTTTAATTTTTTGGTACCAAAATAAAACTTACTTTTACTTCAATTTTCCATGAACTCCTTGAAGTATCTCTGTATAATCTACATGGATTCTTGGCAGGGGCGGGTGGAGAACAGTAAAACTTATGCTAGTTATTGGTTAGCATATTAAGGAATACAATAACATTTTGAGATTGATAAGTAGGGCTTACTTTACTAGGATTCAGCTATTCATTACTGGAAGCTAATCTGATACACTAGCTAGCATTTAATTAAAATAAAACACAAATTTGTCCAAATTTGTGTCTAACAAACTGTAAAGGCTTCTTACCTCCCAAACATCAGGATGTTGTGTAATTTTATAAATCCGAAAATCAGGAAGATTCTTTTGTAAATAGTCTCCTAGAAGTTCTGCTTTGGCATAATATGGACAATCTGCTCTACCTAAAAGAGTTTAAATTAGCCAGGTTTTCTTTCATTACATACATATTATCATGTACTCATCATGCCATATAATTACAGAATGTATCATAGTTTTGATATAACTGTATAACGATTTTATACCATAAACAGTCACAAAATAGACTTCTTATTTTTATTATATTGAAAAGAATAAAACAAATGCCACAGGAGGCCAGAATCTTATGTAATAAAATGTGCAGTGGGAAACAAAAACTCCAGAACATTTGTCATTTTCCAGTACTATGCTAGACTTCACCTCCTTTAAGAGGCTACCCAATACTACTCATTAAACATGAGCTACTAACAATGACAGAATTACTCCCCAGTCGCCACTAAAAGGAAAGATGTGAGGAGTGCCGATAAAGTTACTTTTGGATTTTGTATCTTTGGCAAGGAGTAGTTGGGGAGGGAAAAGTTGAGGGAGACAGAAGAGTTTGGGATAACTACTATTTTCTGGATTGGAAAGATTATCTTTACTTTAGTAGAGAGAGATCAAGGATGAGAAGTTAATTCCAGACAAGTATAGTTCGAGGTATCTGTAGTGTATGTGAGTGGATATGACGAACAAGCAGCTGGACATATAAGATGAGGTGCAGGTGCAATCGAAGGGCTTCAGAAACACATTTTGTAGTCATTAACATATAGAAAGCTAACGTTGCCACAGAAAATGGGATTTGGCATCTGATACAGCACAAAGGATAGAGTCCAAGTGAAGAACCTTCTCTGTAGCATTCTTAGTTACTCGCAATCATTAGTTTTTCAGCACCATGAGAACTTCTAAATCCTCAACTCCTCTCAATCACCCCTATTAGCCTGTGTGTTTAATTCAAACCCGTTCTTCATCACTTCAAATCACTCTGTGGCTCATGTCTTAAATTATGTCTCCCCACTGTCCTTTGGGAAAATCATCCTGGTAGAGGCTCTCCACCCTAAATGAATCCAATCAACTGCATATTCTGCATCTGGGTCCCACCTGCTAGGCATCACTGGGAAAAAGTGGTAAACCACGCAGAGAGGCACTGTAATAATTCATGGTTATCAGCCCTAATTGGCCCTCCACTCTACATGCAGATTCCACTGTCTCTTTTATCAGCACTCTTTTCTGTTCTCCATAAACTTGATTTACTTATTGTAAACTTTATCTACTTCTTCCAAATCTCTTCCTTTTCCTCAATATTTCTCCACACTATCAGAAGACAGTGGACAACCTTGCTTTTTACTTTACAAAACCCTAACCAAACAAAAAGGCACCAGTTGGAAAATCTCCAATCTCTTGTCTTTGCACTTACAGGTCCATCAGCATTTGCATTCATCCTTTTCTCCTTCCTTCTTTTCAATAGAGAAGAAATCCCACTTCCTTTTAAGTCTAATCCCAACACTTTCTTCTATTAATCCATCCTCTTCTCCCTTGCTCAATTGACTTCCCCTCTTTTCAGATTTTATCTATCTTTGATTATCTCTTTCCATCATTTTTAAGTATATTCAAGTTATACTTAAGTCTTTCCTGTCCCAAAAGACAAAAACAAACAAACAAAACAAAATAACAATGTGTTCTGCTGCTTCCCATATGCCCTTTTCTATTAAAACTCCTTGAAAGAATTCTTTATATTTGTCATCTTTACCGCTTTGCTTCTTCTTCCTTCTCATTCCACTGTAGTGTGGCTTCTCTCACAATTGTTTAGAAGGTTACTACAACATTCACACAAATAGATCTTTTCTTGTGGACAGCATCTGCTGTCCTCTGCCATCCTTTTGAAGCACTCACTATGGTGGACCACTTCTGAACCTGTTCCTCCTGCTTCTCTCTGTACTTTCCCTACACTTTGTAGGATCCTATAATTTAATCAATCTGTTGAAAATGTATGATTGTATAGAGCATCTTATGTTCATACCAAGCGTTCTTCTTGGCCAATCTCCTTTACTCCCTTTTGGTTTAAAGTAGCAATCTGTATTTCTAGTTTAGACCTACCTCTTTACATAGAAGCATGTACCCTCCTATATTCTTTCATCTTCTTCTAAAGGTCTCACAGGCATTTAGCATGTCTGTGATGGGTTTTGTCACCATTCCCATGACAAATATGTTCTTTTTTCTACATCCTTTAGGTCTATTTCCCTAAACATCTAAGAGTATCCTCAGTATTAAGACTACTGTTGGCCGGCGCTGCGGCTCACTAGGCTAATCCTCCGCCTTGCGGCACCAGCATACAGGGTTCTAGTCCCGGTCGGGGTGCCAGATTCTGTCCTGGATGCCCCTCTTCCAGGCCAGCCCTCTGCTGTGGCCAGGGAGTGCAGTGGAGGATGGCCCAAGTCCTTGGGCCCTGCACCCCATGGGAGACCAGGATAAGTACCTGGCTCCTGCCTTCGGATCAGCACGGTGCACCGGCCGCAGCGTGCTGGTCGCGGCGGCCATTGGAGGGTGAACCAACGGCAAAAGGAAGACCTTTCTCTCTGTCTCTCTCTCTCACTGCCCACTCTGCCTGTCAAAAAAAAAAAAAAAAAAGACTACTGTTTTGCTTAATTTTTTTCAATGATTCAGTCTACCCAAATTTCCAAACAATTCAGTCTACCCAAATTTCCAAACAATTGCTTGGGAATAATTTTTACCTTCATCTTCTCTCTTATTGGACCTCCTCCACCCACTTAGACATTTAGTTTTATAGATTCTGCCTCCCTAACCTCTCTCCAATCTACTCACTTCTCTCCATTTTCATTGTCTGCCATCTTATATTAGGCCAACATTAACTCCTTCTTGGACTACTGCACCAGTCTTTCTCTTCCATACCACAGTCATACAGATTTTATATTTATTTTTATATATTTATAACATAAAATGCAAGTTTGATTACTTTCTTCCCTTGCATAAACTTTCCAAGTACTTTGAATAAAGGCTAAAGTACTGAACATGGCTCCCAGGAATCTACATTCTTTACTTTTGGTCTCAGCTTCTGATGCTAACTTCCTTGTACTCTTTGCTCAAGGCCTACTAATCTTATTTTAACTTTCTGCTTATTGTATACTTTCAATTACCACCAAACCAACTCTCTTCATGCCAAACCCACTCCCTGCCACCCATGCCTAAATTGCTCTCCTTCTCCCTACCTCTTCTCTGCTAGCTAATTTCTCATTTCTCAAGTATTTGCTTAACATCTCTCCCTCTGGGAAGCCCTTAATTGAATTAATAAGGTCAGCTGCCCCTGTTCCTATTTAACTGCAATGCCAGCCCTGCCACTACATACACACAACATTCTCAGTAAGTGTGTTTTCTTCTGTCCCCAGAATACAGTTAACCAGTGTTCAAACATATTCTGAGTGAATAAAGAAGCAAAGGAAATACATTTTTAGGCAGATAGTAGATGCCAGTTGTGTTCAATGCACCGAATACATAAGAGAAAGATTGAACAGCTTCTGTAAAAGGTATTGGTGATTCTGTAGAAGGCTGCTTTCATATGGAGGTAAAAGTCAGACTGAGTGGAATGAAGAGCTGGAGACAGAAGTGCAGTCTACTCTATTATAATTTTACTGAGAAGGGGGCATGGTAGATACAGCAGGCTGGGCGAAAAAGAAAAACAAATGCCTCCTCAGTGGCTTCCTTGCAGCTGATCTGCACTTCCATCCTTCCTCTCCACTGCTGCTAAGAAGGGCTTCCTAAAATGTAAACCCATTAATGCTACATCCCCATGTAAGATGTTTCAATGATTCCTCCTTGCTTGCAAGATACAGTTGAAACACCTTGGCTTGGTGACGGTGAGGTGCAAGGATTTGGCTCCTGCTCCTTGTCTAGCCCCACGTCCCGTCACTCACCTCCACTCCTCATACAGATTCTTCATTAGGCCAGGAGGCTACTAGCCTCTGGGCCTTTATATGGAACGGCCTCCCACTGGAACAAAACTTTCAGAACTTAGCTCCTCTAACATTTCCCTGAGCAAGTTCCTCGTGTTAGATTCTCTCCGACCCCCAACCCCAAATTAAGGGTCTTTAATCCCAGAGGCCTGTGCACGGTTCCCTCATTGCATTAATCACACCGCATCAACAGTACTTTAAGAGCACCCTGTTACAATTAAAATTCCTTGAGACAAACATCCATTTTGTCTCCACTGTATCCCCGGGGTTCAGCAACGCTGCAAGCACTGGGTGTTCCGTCTAAACCATTTAAGATCATTGTCAAGCGGCCGTATTGGGTAAGCGGTCGTCGGCGTTTTAAGCCATCTGCAGGCAGACGGGCGTCTCACTCACCCGCGATTACGAATTTGGCCATGATAAAACGAGACCAGAGGCTGAGGTCGAGACCGCAGCGTCGCGGTTTCCTGGCAACTGCACAGCCCAAGGCTAAGCGCAGGCGCAGGCTGAAGCTGGCGCTCAGACGGCTGGCGCTCAGCAGGAGGTATTCGGTGTTCAAAGTTACGACCTCAGCGGTTATTTCGCTTTACACGATAACACACTGCCTTTACAATCTCTATGGTTTTTTCTTTCTGCATCCAAGAAACGTGGCAGTTCTCATTGCTGGGGTCTTTCTAAGCAAAGTCCTCCAATCGCCGCGAACACACTAATTTTGACCTAAGGAGGACTCCGTCAAATCTCGCGACGTGCGCACTTCTCGGACAGCTGTCATGGCTGCGCCTGTGTGTAACCACGGGGTTCTCTTCTAAGGTGAGTGGGAGACGAGTGTAGGCAGAATGATTGGCAGTATCCGACGCTATATTTCGTTTTTCCTTCGGGACTCACGAGCCGCCCTGGTGTTAAGTTTAGGGAAGTAGGTTAAAGCTGGAGGGTAGCATTACGGAAGGAAGGGGTCCTGACACTGATTTGGGTTCTGGTGAGGTTGGCGTGTGGCCACAAGCAAACATCACTTTGATTTTCTGCCTCCCTCTCCTGAGCCGTTCTGACTATGTAAGTGCCTATTTTTAATAGGCCAAATTTCACTGTTGCTAAATCCTCTTGTTGAAAAGCAGCCATCAATGTTAAACCTTTTATTTTCGTGAAGGCATTTCCAAAGCAGTGCTATAAAAAAATCGCTCATGCAAAGGAAGCTTTGTGGGATAGTTTCCCACCAGAAATCGTTATATATATAAATTATGAAAATATAGGTTATAATATATATTTATATTTTAGATATAATTTGTATATGTGTACTTATATAAATATTAAAAAGCACAGTTTTACAATTCTTGTAAACTTAAAAACAGTGTATATGTTGTGGAAGTAGATGAGGCCCATACTGTGGAACAGTTTTAGCAACTTAGTGTAAATCTCTTAGTGTCTCAAAAGTTTCTCATGCTAACCACTGTTAAATGCATTTAATTTCTTTAAGTGAAAGTTTTGCTTTAACTTTTATTCCTTGTACTACCTGTTTCCCTACAGGCAAACGACAGCATGTGCTCTCTTTCCCTAATAGAAGTGCTATTTCTTTTATATTGACAATTTTAGAGCCATTTGAAAGTGTTTCTGTGAACAACAAAATGAATAAGAAAGCAGGCTCCTTTTTCTGGAACTTCAAACAACTCAGTACTTTAATTCCAACAAGCAGAACCATGAGGCTATATTCTTTGGGATTTTGCAGACCAAAAATTGTTTGTGCAAAATGGAAACTAAGAAGCCTCTTAAATGACTTAGGTAATAGAAAGCAATCATCTATTAGATATCTCTTTCAGGATGCATTTATTTTTAAATCAAGAGAAGATAGTTGTCAAGCAAAAGGCATAAGCACTGTAAGGGTCCCTACAGTTCATAGACTGCTTTGTCCCAGAAGAATATTCTTTGATGCAAAATATTCTGTTGTCTGTGTTGATATACCTGATAATGGACTGAAGAAATTAAGCTTTCATCATGAGGCCTCCAGTGAAGATGTTCTCATCAAGGAAAGAAAAGCAACCCCTCTGAGTTCCCGAAAACTGTCTGAGGAGTGTAATTCCTTGAGTGATGTGTTAGATACATTTTCAAAAGCACCTACATTTCCTAGCAGTAACTATTTCTCAGCAATGTGGACAATTGCCAAAAGGATGTCCGATGATCAGAGGCGCTTTGAAAAACAATTGATGTTTAATCACCCTGCCTTTAACCAGTTGTGTGAACAACTGTTGAGAGAAGCCAAGATCCTGTACTTTGACCACCTGCTGTTCAGCCTGCATGCCTTGGTGAAGCTCGGTGTCCCTCAGAACACCCTGCTGGTGCAGACCTTGCTAAGGACCATCCAGGTAAAATCAAAAGGACGCTGAAACGATGTTACCTGTCTTATCAGATCTTGAAAGAATGAAAGCAAAGAGACATGCAGTCTCCTTCAAAGAGGCTATCAACAGAATGAGTTCCCCTTACTGGTATTTATTTCTATATGTAGATTTATGATATGAGTTAGAGGTCTTAAGATAGCTATGTCATTTCTTCTTTTTACTATGGTTGATAAAAGCCTGCCCCATTTCCCTTCTCTAGTAAAGTTGAGAAGTGAACAGGCTAAAATGAGGAGAGATGCAAAATAAATAAATAGATATAAATAAAGATTGGGTAGCTGAAGAAAAAAAAAACAGAGAGCCAACATTTATTGAGTATCTATGCCTTTTATTTATATTGGAGGTCTTCACAAAGTTCATGGAAAATGAATAATATGAAGAAACTGCATGGGTTTCAAAATTTCTGCACATATATATGTATTTTAAAGATGTTATTTATTTATTTGAAAGAGAGTTAGAGAGGCAGAGTTACAGAGAAGCAGAGGCAGAGAGAGAGAGGTCTTCTATCCTTTGGATTACTCCCCAAATGGCTGCAACGGCTGAAGCTTTGCCGATCTGATGCCAGGAGCCTCTTCTGGGTCATCCACGTGGGTGCAGGAGCCCAAGGACTTGGGCCATCTTCTACTGCTTTCCCAGGTCATAGCAGAGAGCTGGGTCGGAAGAGGAGCAGCCAGGACTCTAACCAGCACCCATATGGGATGCTGGCACTGCAGTTGGTGGCTTTACCTTCTATGCCACAACACTAGCCCCAGATCCATATATATATATATATATATATAAATTTTGACAAGCAGAGTGGACAGTGAGAGAGAGAGACAGACAGAAAGGTCTTCCTTTTGCTGTTGGTTCACCCTCCAATTGCCGCCGCGGCCGGTGCGCTGCGGCCGGCGCACTGTGCTGATCTGAAGGCAGGAGCCAGGTGCTTCTGGTCTCCCATGGGGTGCAGGGCAGATCCATATATTTTAATTTCTTTTTTTCATGAGATTTTTGAAGTCCTCTTGTGTAATCTTATTTAGTCCCCTGCAAAGTCAATGTTACCTCAGTTTTGCAGATGAGGAAAAAGACTCAATGGTTTTAAGTAACTTGGCGAAGGTCACAAAGCTAGTAGGTTGACTTTTTCATGCAGGAAACATATGAGGGGACTTTAGAACACTTGTGGAAAAACGAAATTAAAAGATGTGAATTTTCCATGAGCGTTTTGAAACCCCTTCAATGTATTAGGTGTCAGCCTAGTATTACTTACTGAACTTATCAATATGGATAGAAAGATACACAAGACATGATTTCCAAATTTAGTAAGTTTATAACCTAGAGGAGAAGACAGATACTATACAGGAAATCACAGAAACAATAACTAACATTAAATGAGTTATACTCTGTTGTGGACACTGTGCTGAATACTAGGAAATCCAATTTTTGTGAAGAAAAGACTGGCCTCATAGAGCTTTGGGTGCAATGAAAGAAAAATACAGGGTGTTATGAGATTGTGTAAGAGGCTTCTAACTTAGTTCTGCTTTCATGGTAGGAAGAAGATACTTCGGTGTAAGACATGGGCATCTTAACTGGTATCTTAATGGCTAGGCCAATGCCAGCCATTGTATGGAGTTATTTAAAGGTGGTTATAGTAAATCAACTTGCTGGTCAATGATGCTTCTTCTAGACTTTGGGCAGGTATATACAGCAGCATAAAATCTGCATTGGTGATGTCTGAGCAATGGTGATTTGGAGTCAGAATGTCTGTACATGCATGATTGTATCTCACTGACCTGTTGGGTTGTGGTAAAGACATTTTAGCTAGAGGTGAAGAGACAGTGTGCCATCAATGAATCTACCCTTCAGAAATGCTGTGCAGTCTTTTCCTTTTTTTTTTTCTTTTTTTTTTTTTTTTTTTAAGATTTATTTATTTGAAAGGCAGAGTTACAGAGAGGCAGAGAGAGAGAGAGAAAGAGAGGTCTTCCATCCACTGGTTCACTCCCCAAATGACTGCAATGGCTGGAGCTGCGCCAATCTGAAGCCAGGGGCCAGGAGCTTCTTCTGGTCTCCCATGTGGGTGCAGGAGCCCAAGGACTTGGGCCATCTTCTACTGCTTTCCCAGGCCATAGCAGAGAGCTGGGTCGGAAGTGGAGCAGCCAGGACTCTAACCAGCACCCATATGGGATGCTGGCACTGCAGGTGGAGGCTTTATCCACCACACCACTGTGCTGGCCCCGAAATGTTGTACATTGTTAAGGAAATCCTCCCCTGGGAATGAAACTTTTTTTCCTTCTAGCTTGATCTATTTCTTATTATCTGGTTCTTACTTGAGACCTTGTGACCAGTTAGATATATAGTGTTCGCAAAAGAGCTTGCTTCTTTCAGCCTGAGTTTCCTCAGATGTGATCATAATTACTCTTGTGAAGTGTATAGATGAGTTTTGATTAGATTGCAGAGTATTAGTGTATTAGTTAAAAGTTTGTTTCCATAACAGGGTACCTGAATCAGGTCAACTTCATAAAGAAAAGAGGTTTATTTTGGCTCATAGTTCTGGAGGTACAAGGTCTAGGGACTTCATCTGGCATTGCATGGCAAGAGTTGCTGTCTGTCTATGTGGTCTATCAGAAAGTCTCCAGTACTGAATCACGGGAGTGCTACTTCAGTGACCTCTAAACATCATCATTGGATTAGGTTTCCACCATCTTAGTACCATTAACATAACATTTTGGGGACTAAACTCCTGAATTTGGGATGGAGGCAAATATTCATACTTTTGCAACTAGATAAGCTGTGCTGTTATTAGGCATTTTCCCAATTATGTCTGCTGCCTGCTAAATTAGTGCTCTACAGGGACCTTTAAGTCGTGTCTGTGGAGCCTAGGATCCCCTTGAGGTCCAGATTATGGTGGTAAAATATGGCAGGAGATGTAATCAGAAGATTCACAACTGAAGTTAGCTTGATACCCTGGAAAGAGAATAGAGAAATTGTAAAGGTCTAAGGGTCTTTCTGGATTGGAAAATTGCCTTTTATATCTCAATAGCTCTTGTATTATTACATTTGAACTCATTTCCATGTGAGCTTGAGTCCTAAAAAGAGGTAAAAGTAATGTTTGAGAAAAGTTATTTTAGAAGCAGAGAGGTATAATGAAATGGATTTTTTCCTCCGCCTTGTGGCACCGGCGCCCCAGGTTCTAGTCCCGGTCGGGGCGCCGGATTCTGTCCCGGTTGCCCCTCTTCCAGGCCAGCTCTCTGCTGTGGCCAGGGAGTGCAGTGGAGAATGGCCCAAGTCCTTGGGCCCTGCACCCCATGGGAGACCAGGATAAGTACCTGGCTCCTGCCATCGGATCCGTGCACTGCGCCGGCCGCAGCGCACCGGCCGCAGCGGCCATTGGAGGGTGAACCAACGGCAAAAGGAAGACCTTTCTCTCTGTCTCTCTCTCTCTCACTGTCCACTCTGCCTGTCAAAAATAAAAAAAAATAAAAATAAAAATAAAGATAGTTATAATTTTTAATACCTTATTAAATATGAAATCCCAACTCTGGATGAGATAAAACTGAAAATGATACCAGGGTACTTCAAAATGTTTGTGAAAAATGGAATTCAAAGATAATTTTATTTTTGGGCAAAAAATTGAAATGTCAAAAGTCTTCAAAACACTCATGGAAAATGTGTATTACAAAAAAATGCCTGTCAGATAAATAAAATAAATCTTTGAAAAGACTATGGATTTCAAAATGTCTTAGCATTCTCCACCAAAACAGGTGTGGATAACATTGAAATCCAAGTATCTTAAAATATAGTACTGATGTGGGGTGGAAGAGAATTGGCATTGAATTCAGTTCAAAATAGTTATTTGGGCACTATATAGGGGATTACACAACAATGGCCCAGTTTGTAAAGGAATTTGTAAAACTGATGCAGCCAATCTAATGTCATAGGTTAGAGAGAATAATACTTAATTTGCTTTTTTGTTGACTGTGAATCAGATATCTTACCATAATCTCCTGTTATGATTTGTTCATTAATAAAAGTAGTATAATAATGTGAGAGGAAATAGTTATTTACTGGTTCTAGGTCTTTCAGTAACTGTTTATACTCTCTTCAACAAGTACATCATGTCTATGGCCTTCATTTTTTCTTGCACATAAGGAGTGGGAGCTGGGCCAAAGAAAATTTCCAGGTTTCCCCTCTGGTTGGAAGACTTTAGGATTACAATATGTGTTGTGTCTGATGACAGGATACTAGTTGATCAACATGTTTGGAAGATAAAAAGCATCTTTACGTTACAAACTGTGATGAAATACATTGGACAGGATACACCAATTGCTCTGAAAAAGAAACTGGAGGTAAATTCTTCAATTTTCTTTAGTTGGTGAAATTTGGAAAGAAAAAAATTTCTGGTGTCCTGCCATCACTTTCTGAAATCAGCTTTTTAGGATGACATTGTTGTGCTTTTGTGTTTAGCTATGCTAAGCTGCATTAATAGAAGTAGAATTATATTTATCTGTATATATTTGTGCAAATATATATATATGTATTTGAATCATTGTTCTCATACTTCATCCTTTTTAAAGATAAAAGTTTAATTTTCATGCTATAAATGTTACATTGAAACTTGTTTTTCTTTAGATGAAAGCCTTGAAGGAATTAGACAGATTTTCTTTGTTGAATAGCCAGCATATGTTTGAGGTGCTAGCTGCCATGAATTACCGGTCTGTTGTTCTCTTGAACGAATGCAGTGCGAAGGTCATAGGTAAGGGGAATTTTTCTTTCAGGATTTGTAGCACTTGACCTACTGTTATGGATTATATTGTTTTGTTTGTTTAAAAGACTTGATTTTATATAGAGAAAATCCGAAGATATATCTAAGTTTTATTTTTACCTGTAGATTTTTTGTTTGCTTATCAAAGTGTAGTGCTATGTTTTTCTAATGAAACAGAAGTATTGAGGATCTTGAGTCTTACCTTGAAAATCATCTGGTAACTTTTGTCTGTTTATTTGACTCATTCTTAAAGATAATATCCATGGTTGTCCTTTCAAAATATTGAACAACATATTGCGATCCTGCAAAGACCTTCGATACCGTAATTTAAAACTCTTTGAGGGAATAGCAGATTATGTACATACAACTTTTGACATCTGGACGTTGAAACAAGTGAGTATGCTCACAATTTAGAATAGGCCTCAGACACTTTCAAGAAGCCTATTTGTTCACTTAGTATTTTTTTTCTAAAAAATTACTATTACCATACTATAACTATTAATTTTTCTCCAATTCTCCTTTTTTCAAGGTACTTTTTCTCCTCATTTTATTTGAAAACCTTGGCTTTCGGCCTATTGGTTTAATGAACTTGTTGATGAAAAAAGTAGTAGAGGAACCTGGATCCTTAAACACGAAAAGCATTGTCTCTATTCTTCACGTGTATTCTTCTCTCAATCACAGCTGCCAATCTCAGGACAAAGAGTATGTACTTATGGTTTTTTTGTTTGTTTTTTACCTTTTTAGGGCCACATAACATATTATTAAAAGATTATAAGTTATACACTTAATTAGTTGTTACAAGTGAACACATCCATAGCCATTGTCCATGTCAAGATGTAAAACACTGTTTGTTACTCCTGTTTGTGTCTTTGTTTCTTATATTTGTTCATTCAGTGTAAGACTTCATTTCAAACTCACCCAGCTTATCCCTTTAGATCTCAAGTTCATGATTCACTTTCTGCTTAACTTTATTGGAAAGTTGAGAAATATATCTTTAATAATTATCAATTGTCATTTTTTATCATAGCAAGAACATTTAAAATGAGGTCTATCCACTTAGATTTTTGTTATGTTATATAGTGTTGTTAACTGTAGACACAGTGTTGTACAGTGAATCTCTGGAACTTAGCCATCTTGCATATCTGTAACTTTATATTGTTCCCACTCTCCTGGTAACCACCATTCTATTTTTTTCTCTGAGTTTGACTTCCTAAGGCTTCTCATGTGAATGAGATCATACAGTATTTTTGCTTTGGAGACTTGCTTATTTCACTTAGCATAATGTCCTCCTAGTTCATCCATGTTGTAGCATATAGCAGGATTTGTCTTTGTTAAGTCTGAATAATATTCCCTGTATTTACAGAGCATAGTTTTTTGAACTAGTCATCTGTTGATGGACAGTCAAGTTGGTTCGCTACCTTACCCATTGTGAATAATGTTGGAGTGAATGTGGGAATGCAGATATCCTTTTGAGATAGTTTGGATGTTTGGGGCACCCACACTCCATCTGGCTCCATCCCTACTCCATCTGGGTGAGACAGAAAGCAACTCTCTGGTCAGTGCACTAAAAGGCTGGATGTTAGATGCATGTTCTACTCTCCCTGATGAGGAAAACATTACAGGTGCAGGTGATCTCTTGGTGCTGAGCTGGATAAGCTTGAGGGAGGGGCTGACATGAGTAACGTGAAAGTGCTCTTTTTACCTGCTCAGTGCAACTGCTCTTAGTTTTATGCTCATCCAGAGTAATGCAACCTTCTAGCTGGATTCTGTACTCCTTACAGAGGCTTTTGGTCTGCTTATCACTGTAGAGTCAGTGTTTCTGTGGGGCAGCAGGAGCTGGGTCTTCCTTTTCTACCATCTTGCTGATGTTGCTCCTGTATAATTCAGTTTTGACCCTAACTATTCATTTGGTCCCAAGCTACTGCTTTCTGTGTTTTTCATTTTACCACAACCATGAAGTCTACTGTTAAATGCAGCTATACCTCAAATATGTCAGGTTCTTTCATACTTTTCCTTTCCACCAGAACATGTTTTCTTCTTCTCTGGATTAGTTAGGGTTCATTAAAAACCAGAAACACATTTACAATGTCTTTGGTTAGCACAGCTTTTAAAAGCACAGGCTCTGGAGACAGCTTGCTTAGCTTTACTCTCAACCCTGCCACTCCTGAGCTGCTTGGCTTTTGGCAAGTTCCTTATCTCTGTCTCAGTGTATTCATCTGTGAAAATGGGATGAATTGTTTGGAATGACGTTGGATTGTACTCAGACTTCAAAGCAACCCCACAGATTCCATGGGATTAAGAGAGTAAGCACTGGTGTTTAGGGAGTTTTCCAGCTGACTCTAGGCAGCTCAGGAGATAACTTGGTTAGTAAAATTGTTAAATTGGAAATGAGGGGAGAAGGAGCTAATGAAGTAACAAAGTTTGGGAAATCCAGTAACTAGCAGTAGCAGAATTAGTACCAGAGGGAGTCATGGATATTGCCCATCTGTCTGCTGTGCTTTCTTCTAGCCCCATGATTCTCAGGCAGAGGTCATTTTGCCTTACAAAGAATATGTAGTGATGCTGAAATATTTTTAATTATCCCAATTAGAGGGATTAGAGGGAGTGTGTGTGCTACTGTCCTCTACTGGAGTGAAGACCAAAGATACTAGCTACACATTACTATGCCAAGACAGCCCCTGATGACCAAGAATTATCCAGCTGCAAATGTCAGCAGTGTTGAAACTAAGAAACCCTGATCTAGCCCTTGGCCCTGAATGCCCATACATGTGGAGTCACCTGAATTTGGTACTTTGAGTATCATAAAAAAAAATAAAAGAAAGAAACACAACAACAAAAACTAAAAAAATTTATGTCCTCTGTCCTTCCTAGACCAGTTAAGAAGACAAATCTCCAAATGAAGGCAGTAAGAAATCAGATGAGTGCTTTATGAAGCATGAGAAATGAAAAAGGAGGGTAGCATTGTAGTCTGGAGTAGCTGGTGTTTTAGAGCAGGAGAACTGAAAGCATTTGTGAAGGGAGTTGACTAGAAGAGATAGATTAGATAGGAGAGTAGTGGAGAATTTGGCTTGCCACGTTGTATGTATTCAGACTGTACATTAATCATTATATTTATGGAACAGCCCGTGGGGGGATATTAAATCCTTAGAGTCTTCCTGAGTTTGCAACCCAAGAAAGAAAACATTTCACATTTAAACTTTGTCATTTTGAGCCTTTGATATTTTATCTTGATCTATATTTTCCACCCTATGGACAATCCTAGACTTGTATCTCTGGCCACTAATGTACTGAACCCCAGACCCAAGTCCCTGGGAGGCATACTGTCACTGTGCATCTCAGAATTGTTTAGAGTACAGTAATTCTGTCTGGACATGAGCCCACTATTCTTCGTTTTTTTGTTTTTTGTTTTTTTTTTTTGAAAGACAGACTGGCATTGTGGTGTAGCAGGTAACACACCCCATATGGGAACCAGTTCGTGTCCTGGCTGCTCCATGTCTCATTGAAATCCTTGCCAATGACCTGAGAAAAGCAGCAGAAATGGCCCAGTTGTTGGGGCCCCTGCCACCCATGTGGGAGACCCAAATGAAGCTCCTGGCTCCTGGCTTTGACCTGGCCAAGCACTGACCGTTGCAGCCATTTGTTAAATTAATCAGTGGATGGAAGAGCTCTCTCTGTCTCTCTCTCTGTAACTCTGACTTTCAACTAAATAAACAAGTTTTTTTAAAAAAGAACAACAGAGAAGGAGAGACAGAGAGAAAGAGATCTTCTATCCATTGGTTTACTGTAAATGACTGCCATGGCTGAGTCTGGGCCAGACTGAAGCCAGAAGCCTGAAACTATCCAGATCTCCCATGTGGGTGGCAAGGACCCCGGTACTTGGGTCATCTTCCACTGCCTTTCCAGAAGCATTAGCAGGGAGCTGGATCAGCAGTGGAGCAGCTGAACCTTGAACCAGTGCTCCAATATGGGATGCTGGCGTCTCAGCCAGTTACTTAACCTACTACACCACAACATCAGCCTGGAGCCCACTAGTCTTGATGCATCGTTTTCCACTCCCCAGGCCCTCCTTCTTTTTCATCTGAGTGTGTTTGTCCATTTAGTTAGCAAACGTTTAGCTGGCACCTGGGGACGTGGGACACAGATGAATAAGACACAGTCTTTTTCTTGCCAGAGGATTCTGTCTAAAGGGACAGGTTGACACATAAGTTGGTAATTAAACACAGCATGAAAATTAGAGTGATCAGGTTTCATTTGGAATGTGTGGAACGAGAGGAGGGTTGCAGATGTCAGCCTGGCAAAGAAGAAGGTCAGTGGGTGTAGTCAGTGCTTCCTGGAGAAGGGGTTACCCAAGTGATAGATAGATGGGAGTTCACAGGAGAAGAGAAGCAGGAAAGAACATTTTGAGTGGAAGGCACTCTATGTGCCAGGTTTAGAAGAAAGAAACAGCAGGGAACAGCATGCAGTTTGGGGCACAGTGTGAGGCGTGGGTTAGAGAAGACCACAGTGGTAGTCACCCAGCTCCAGGCTTCATCCTCCTTACCCTGACCTGCTGCATACTCCAAACGCAATTACTTACCGTTTTACTAAGCGTTGCCTCCCTGTCATCTCTAGGACCTGATATATTCCTCTCAGGCAGTTCTCCTAGCCTACCAGGCTCCCCTCCCTCTAACCCAACTGCTAAGGGCCTCCCAGTTGACTTCAAACGTTTCCCTTTTAGTCTCAAAGATAATAAGGGGCTTTCTCTTAACATAAAGTATTTTGAATGTTTTCATCATAAGCAAATCATAAATGTCTGAGGAGATAGCTGTTTACCCAGTTTGGAAATTACATGTGTATCCACGTATCAAAACGTTGCATGATACCCTTAAGTATGTGCAGTTTTTATGTGTCAGTTAAAAATTAAAAGAAAGCTTTCAAAAAGAATACAGACTTCTGGGTATATTTGCCCCTGCTGTGAGACTCGCAGCCCTGTGCCTGCATCCCATTAGTAATTTACTGTCCAGCAAATAGCATGTATGTTCATGGCTCTACTGTGGTTTCTTCTGTTGATCTATAATTTCCACCCTATGGGCAATCCTACACTTGTATCTGTCACCATTAGTGGGTTGAACTCCAGATCTGCTTTCCTAGGTTGGATGTGGTCATCGTGCATCTCAGAATAGAAGTGTCCAAGTTCAATAATTCTGGACACGAGCCAATTATTCTTGATGCACCCTTTCCTACTACTCAGTTCCTCCACCTTTCCCGTCTTTTACTACCTATGCAAATTTCCCTTCTCTCTAAAGCAACTTTGTGTACTTTCCTCTTTGCTGTCATAGTACTTTGCTTATACAAGCTTACTTCAAAAAGTTATGGGAAATGTGATTAAAAGATAAGTATATTTTGTGCAAAAGGTTTTTTTTAACTGTGAATATGTACTCTTGATTTTCTATGAAAAATGCAAATTACAAAAATATTATGGGGCTGGTGCTGTGGCATAGCGAGTAAAGCTACCACCTGCAGTGCCAATATCCCATATGGGCACTGTTTTCAAGTTCCAGCTGCTCTACTTCCGATCCAGCCCTCTGCTATGATCTGGGAAAGCAGTAGAAGATGGCCCAAGACCTTGAGCCCCTGCACCCATGTGGGAGACCCAAAAGAATCTCCTGGCTCCTGGATTCAGATTGGCACAGCTCTATCTGTTGTGGCCAACTGGGGAGTGAACCAGTGGATGGAAATCCTCTCTCTCTTTCTCTCTCTCTCTCTCTGCCTCTCCTTCTCTCTCTGTGTAACTCTTTTAAATAAATAAATAAATCTTTAAAAAAATTGTGTATGAATTAAAAAATTGGTGGGCCAAAATAAGCTTATATTTTAATTTCATTTCTCCATGAAATTTGAAAAAGAATTTATTTATTTATTTGAAAGACAGAGAGACACTGGGTCATTTCTCAAATGGATGTGATAGCCGGGACTGGGTAAGGTTAAGCCAGAATTCAGGAGCCCAATCCAGGTCTCCCATGTTAGTGGCAGGGACCCAAGTACTTGAGCCATCACTTGCCTCCCAGGGTGTGCATCAGTGGGAAGCTGGAATCAGGAGCAGACTGGGACTCAAACCCAGGCACTTTCATATGAGGTGTAGGCATCCTCAGTGGCTTCTTAGCTACAGCACCAAATGCCCATTCACCTTGAATGTTTTTTAAGTATCTTCATAATTCTTGCCTTACTGACCTAGGTTCTAAGGATATCTGTGCCATCTATTACCAGTGCACTCTGGGCAAGTGACCTCACCTAATTTTGCTCTTTGCTGTCTTTATCTGTGCTTAACTGCATAGTCATACTGTGTAACATTGGCTCTGAGTGATTTGCTTTACAGTGTTTTTAACCCAAAGTATTGATAACTTGAGAATTTTAATTGGTTATAAAACTGTAGTGGTAGATTAGGCTGTTTAGAAAATCTAGCATAACGGTTAATAGGCTTTGGAGCCTGATAATTTGGGTTTCAGTACTATCTCTGCTACTTTTTGGCTGTGTGTTCTTGGCCAAGTCAGTCAACTTGTCTGAGCCTGTATACTCATCTTTATTATGAAGAAAATAATTATACGCAATGGAGTTTTAATGAGAATTAAAGCCTATAAGATATTTGTACTTTGTAGGACACAGAGCATTAGGCACTATTCATTGAGTCTATATACTTGTGGATAGCACCCTGAGCAATGTGTGGATACTTATTTGAAAGCCTGATTTTTTTTTAACTTCTTCTAATAAGCTTTCCTTCTGTTTATACTTGCAAACTGACTCATATTTGCTCCCTGGAAGGTTCCTGGATGTTATGGCTGCTGCTCTGACTGGTTGTCTTCACCACATCTCTTCTCAAAACCTACTGAACGCTGTGTATTCATTTTGCATGATGAATTATTTCCCTCTGGCTCCTGTTAATCAGCTTCTCCAAGACGACGTCATCAGTGAGCTGCTGGCATCAGGTAAGATGTGAGTGCACAGTGGTGCCTGAGATGCCCACGCCACCAGCTCCCTGTGACTCTGAATGGCATTGTCGCTGGGACAGTGTTGACATGTGCAGAATGGGTGTTACTGAGACAAGCGCTGATATGGTGAAGTCAGAAGTCAGTGCTTCAAACCTACAAGCCTAAGTGGCCTCTTTTAATGACAGCTCCTACATATGAAGAGAATTATAAGGAAGGAATCATCATTCTTTCTTTTTAAAGAAGTTTTATTTATTTCAGAGGTAGAGAGACAGAGAAAGGGAGGGGGAGAGAGAGCAAGCGCCCTTAAGCCTCTTCAGCTGGGGCTGGGTCATGCTGAAACTGGGATCAAGGAACTAATCCCATTTCCCACATGGGTAGCACGGATGTAACTATCTGAGCCTTTTCCTACTGCCTCCCGGGATGCATATTATCAGAAGCTGGAATTGGGATAAGAGCCAGGACTCGAACCCAGGTACCCAGGTACTCTGAAGGGGTGCAGAAATTCCAGGTGGCAGCTTAACCCCTGTGCCAAATGCTCAGTCCTAATATTTATTTATTTATTTAAGATTCATTTATTTGAAAGTCAGAGTTAGAGAGAGAGAAAGGTCTTCCATCTGTTGGTTCACTCTTCAGAAGGCCACAACAGCTAGGGCTAGATCAGTACGAACCCAGGAGCCAGGAGCTTCTTCCAGGTCTCCCATGTGAGTGTAGGAGCCTAAATATTTGGCCATCTTCCGCTGCTTTCCTAGGCCATTAGTAGGGAGGTGGGTAAGAAGCGGAGCAGTCAGGAATTGAACCATTGCCTACATGGGATACCTGCATCACAAGTGGCGGCCTTACCTGCTGCACCACAGTGCTGGCCCCCTCCATGTTACTATTTTTTTTTACCCTGTAAGTACTTCCAGAAAGTCTAAATGTTCAAGTTATTCCTTGATCAGATTAAGCTGTATTGTGTATGAGTAGGGGCACATTGCATGTCCTGATGTTCACATTAGACATAAGCCAACTCACGTAAACTTTTGCAGAAGAGCTATATGAAGAGCTTTGTGAAGAGCTATGAACACCTGGCCACATGTGGCCTGTCATGAAGACACAGCCTATTAGATCAAGTAAAGAAATAGTTACCAAAGTAGTGAATTTATGTACTCGTGGAACCAAATTAATCGTTGGCTTTTAAACAAGGAAAAGCAATATCCTGGTAGATGTACAAAATTGAGAATAGAATATTTAAAATTCTTTTTAAAGCAGTGTCATGAAATCTCTAGATTGAGTTGTGAAAAACCAATACCCTGTGCTGATTTTTCAAGCAGTGTAATGCTGGAGAAACAGCCTTGAGCTCAGGAGACTTGGATTCTAGTCCCGATTTTGCTTTTACTTGATCATGAGGCTTTTTACCACTCGTGGGCATTTCCTCATCTATAGAATGAAGTTTTGATTAAATCACCCCTGGAGATATTTTAGTCCCTAACACATTGTCAGATGCATCTCATTGATCCAGCCACTGTGGAAACAGGAAGACACAGAGAAATTCCTCATGGTAAGGGAGATGATTAGAAATAGAAGTACATTAATACAACTTTTAAACCATGACATTGTTTTTTTTTAAACAGTGTAATTTCTGTTTTCATTTATTTTTTAGATGACAGGGAGAAGAATGTTCACAGACTTCATATTCTGGATACTTGTCTGAAACTTGATGATACTGCTTATCACAAGGCCTTAGACTTAGCCCTGCCACAGCCACCTTCGGTACCATCATGTCCAAATACAAAGGTGGCAGAGGTGTTAAGTAGACTCCTGGGAGGTGAAGGATACTTCTCAAAAAATGTGCAGTTGCCACATAATTATCATATCGGTATGTGACTTCATGTGACTTCCCTTTGTTTTATTTATTTTCTTGAAAAAGTGTGTAACATTGCCTCTGGAGCTGTACTACCTAGGTTTGAGTCTTGCTCAAAAACTTAGTAGTACTATAAGTTTAGACTTCCACTAGCCTCAGTTTCCTTGCCTGTGAAACAACAATAACAATAGTGCCAACCCTATATGATTCTTGGGACCAGTAAATGAAATTATACATGTAAAATCCTAAACAAGTGTCTGGCACATGGCAAACTCTCAATATATTTTAGCTACTGCCATTAGCTCCTGTGGTAGGAGTGATAGATATTTTGAAGCAGAATATCACTTTCAGCAATGTTTGGAAAATTAATATCAATTCTTTTCTTTCAGATTTTGAAATCAGAATGGATACTAAGAGGAGTCAAGTGCTTCCATTTTCTGATGCAGATATAACTTGTGCTACAAATATTCAAAGGTTGCTGGTTTATACTTACTTGCTGAGCTGTCTGAACTTAAATCTTAATTCGGAAAGACTTCATATTAAATAGGAATAATAATACTAAAACCTTATGTTTGTATAGAGTTTGCAATACCCTGTGAGGTTTCTCATTCATGAATCGACTCCATAGGTGGAAATGTGGACATTATGGTTGAATACAATAGACTGGAATGGGACCATTTACTGAAATAGACATTTTTTCCAAAATTAAGTTTTGAAGTTAAACAGTTGAGTAAAACAATAGAACATAGTTGAAACTATCAGTGTGGTGTAAATTTTGACATGATAATATGCTGGTGATCATAAAGGATTGAAACTTTTACAGAAATCAAATACCCAATACCAGAAATCAAATACCTCACTTTATACAGAACCTTCCCAAAGATAGAGGAAGCACAGCTTCTTAATTACAGGGTTTTGTGTATGGATCAGAGCACACTGAAGCTAGTTGTAGGTCATCTCCTTGATTCCGGCATTACAAAGATAGAGTGCATTTGGGGAAACTGTGATGCTGCTTCCTTCAAGAATGCCTGTCTCTTCAATAGACATGTAGGACGAGGTCATCTTTGTACACTCTCTGTGGCACATGAAGATGAGTCACACGTGGGTCCTGACCCCAGTGAGCTTATATCCCTTGTTGCTCCATTGGACATGGCCATAAATACAAGAAAGAGAGAGAGGAAGAGAATAAATGGAGATTTTGAGAGAATCTATAGAGATTCAAACTGTTGCTTCCTCCGCCTTCTCCATTCCCATTCAGTTGTATGACTTTTACTCCTTTCTGAATTCATCTAGGCTTATTAAATCCAAGTTCTGTTTTTGACCATCTTTTTATACTATCTTCCATACCCGTGTATCCCTCTCTTCTCAAGGAAGGCTTTCTCTGTAGCCCCATTCAAAGTCATTTTTCTTTCTCAAGTACTCCATTGTTCTGGCTAGTACAATAACAGCAGTTCTTAGCATATAGTTCTGAGAAGTGAGGAATCGAGCATTATTTTAAAGAATATTAAATTTATAACAGCCAGAGCATTGGAAAAGAGAGTAAGGATATAAGTATCTCTTTTTATTTTTTCCTCCCAATGAACTTAATCTTTCCAAAATGTCAGAAATAATAGAATAAGAAAAAATAAATTATATTTCCTGTATTTCTGGTACATTTACAGATTACTTTTCTCTTAGAGTTTTCTTTTTTGTATCTGGTCTCCCAGTTCTGGTTTTAACATGCAGGCAATATACAAGAAAAGCATTTGCTATTTGGTATTATGTACATGGAAACATCAACTAATATAAATTTAAATCATTATATTCAAGGATCAGCACTATACAGAAACCTTTCATGCTTTCTTTCATAGCTGAAAATTTTCCACATCCACAAAATGGAACCATATTAAAGATGGGTGAGAGATAACTCAATATGTAAAGCATTGTTGTAAGTGTTTGGTTCATTAAGTTTCCTTGAATACTAAAGTATCTGCAGAGTTCACATGACAGAGAAGTGAAGCCCTGAGCAGTAGGAAATAGTAACAGCTGTGATTAGTGGAGAACTCAAGTTTGAAATTTCCAGAGAGCAGGAATGCAGCAAGATTGTAAATGTCAGTTTCAATAACTGTTGTTTGTTTTTGTTTTCAGAGTAGCTGTGCTATGTGTTCCTAGATCTTCTTACTGTTTGTATTCGAGCCACCCCAGAGGGATCCTTGCTATGAAAATGCGGCATTTAAATCTAATGGGTTTTCATGTGATCTTGGTAAGAAAAAATGCAGATGAAATATTCTTTAGTTACTGACGTACATTCTTTGTTCCCAGGAATGTTGTGGTTGCAGTTGGTTAGTAGGACTTTAAAAGAATTATCAGCATAAGAGTTTTAGTTTTCATTTTCTTTGAAAAAGAACATTTCTAGTACATGAGTTGTTCCTACTCTGCTGATTACTGTCATTTACTAGTGGTTTTATAAATGTTATTTTGGTCAGCTATAATCTTTTTTTGTTAAGAGGGAAAAATGTAGATAGTATCTTTTCTTATTTAATTTGACACATGAAACCAAAATTAATTTCCAGGTTATCTTGAAGAGGGAAGAGGAGGTGGTAAAGCATCGGCTCATGGCCAGTGTTAGGTTGTTGCAGGATGTCACCAGGAAACTGGCTGGTTGTAAGAGGCTGGCTGTTCCTGTTGCCTCTTAGTGTGCACTTTGATTCTGAGCACCACTGCTTTTCATGAACAGCCTCTTCAGATGTCTCTGTCGGTAGCAAGAATGTTTCAAATAGATGTACACTTATGTGAGTGCTGGGATCTACCTAAACACCACTCGGCTGGTTCTCCACACGATGTGAACTGTAAGCTCTCTGGTCTCCCATTGTGGTACTTTAGGATCCAGAAATGGGTTATGTGTGGACCACTGAGGGTAAGATGGCCCCCCTTCTCTTAAAGACTACTATTTAAGACTTATTTTTTCATGCCAGTCATTATATGTATTCTAAGGAAAATTTTTCTAATCAAGTCATTTTTGTGCCATTAAGAGAATCTTTAAAACTTGTGTGACTTTCACTTAAAAGTTTCCTTCAACCCAAGCACATAGTTTATTAGGTCTTTAAAATATGAGTTGGGTGTTAAAAGGTAACATTTGTTTTTAATTGACTTGATGATACTTGAATATGCTTGGGTCTCCAAACTAGCTTTTATTTTATGTTGCCTTCTGACAAACTGTTTTCTTCTTTTAAGGTCAATAACTGGGAAATGGACAATCTGGAGATGGAGAATGCAGTAGCATTTTTGAAAACTAACATCTATTCAGTTGAAGCCCTTCCTACTGTTAATGCAAATTGTCAAAGCACATAGTAAAGGAAGTCAGCCTTTCACCTTAGGACACAGATTTGTAAAAATGACTTTAATAAAGACTATAATTCAGTTTTCAATGGAATTAACTTGACTATTCACCATAACAAAAAGTGTTACTTCAGTTCACTGTTAAAGTCGATTTTAAAATTGGAAGAAATCTTACTACTGGCATTTTAGAATATGCTGAACAAATTTCAGAGGGATTGGTTTTCCAACCACACCTATTCCAAATAGTGCTGAGATATTTGAAAAATTCATGAGCTGTAAGTTTCAATGTTTCTCCTCAGCTTCGGTGTATTAAAACCCAGTTTCTTCACTGTTGTTGGGTCACTGGTAAGTGGGTACAGGCAATCCTTGTGTGGGAAATCCTGTGTATTTATGCTCCTACTCTAAGTTATTCTGAGACTTGGGGTTTTTCCCTCCAATTTTCAAGCATTGACCAGATAGCAATTGGACCCGGTACTCAAATTGCACAGTGTATCAGAGTTAGTAAGGCAGGAGGTTACAAATGGTTGCAGATGGCACTTGTATTTGTAGCAAGCATTTCAGGAGAAGGTATTTCATGGCCCATAAAAGAGAAACACAAAGGAGGTAATACATAAATGGCAAGGAGTCTAAATTTATTAAAACCAATAGGCTGTCAGTTGGTAACATGGTAACTTGCTGTTGTTAGATTATTTCTTCTGCTTTCTTCTCCTCTCTTCTTGCTATTTCATGAAGTCTTTTAAGTTGAATATGTAGCTAAATTGTTGTGAATGAGACCTGAGGACTGTTTTTCAATTATGTTTTGTTTTTCAAATATTTTGTTTAATAACCCACCTACCTCAGTGATCACTAGGCATGGTCACTTGTGGAACCAATAGCAGGGGTTCCATGCCAGATGGGTCGTCACCCCTACAAAGACAGGCATGCAGTTCCTGCACGTTACTATGAGCCCGACCCTGTGAAGTGTTCGTACATATTCTGTTTTCATTGTCTTACAGCCCTCTGAGCTGTAGCTCAATTCTCTCCAGGCGTTTGTTTCCTCCTCTGTAATATGAGGTAATAACAGTTGCCCAAGGTTACATGGATAGTAGGGCAGGGGTAGGCTTTGAATGTAAGCCAACGTGGGCTCACAAGAAAAGTAGTAGGGGATCCCCAGGCTAGTAGTGGAAGCACTGCAGCAGTGTGACAGCAGCTGTCAGGTTTTATCAACTTACTCAACCTGCACTCAGAAAAGGTTAGAGCTGACAATAAACTTAGAGATTATTCTACACACTTCCCTCATTTTATGGATGAGAAAGTGATGGTTCAAAGAATTTTATTTTTCTGAGGTCTCAGCCATGCCACTGATTTCCACATCATTTCACCTGCTGCCCTGCAGCTTATGTCCCAGGAGGTCTAGATTCTGCTTCCAAACTGGACATCCCCTAGTTTCGTGTACTTGGTGAAGTGGTTAAATCTTCACCAGCTTCAGATGGAGATGAAAATATTCCGTTATTAAAGGAACCAAAGTTCATTTTTTAAGTGTTAAGTATGTATCAGTTTCTTCTAGCGACTAATTACGACTTGTAGTCAAAGGATTGGACAAATTTATGAATATTTATAACCACTGCCTGGAGTAGCAATTTTCTTGAGTTTGTACCGATTGACGTGGAAGATAAAAAAGCATTCCTCTTTTGCTAGCATTACTAGTGTTAGCATTCTTCGCTGCTTTGTGGCAATGAAAGAGAATTGGGCAAAGAGCTAGCTGATCAACATGAAAACATTTCAGTCTACTACTAAAGACATGAATATTCAAATAAATGAGGTATTTTTGCCCTTTCAAATTAGCAGTCTCTTTTCCTTTAAGAATTACAGTGCTGACAAAGGTGTAATGAGGCAAGCAATTGCACACACTGCTGGTGGAATGTAAATGAATGCAACCTTTCTGGAATATACTTTATGGGGTTTTTTCTCCCATATTTACAAAAAATAGCTCTATTGAAGGACAATTGACATGACAAGCTGCGTGTATTTAAGATGCACAAGTTGGTAAGTTTTGACGTGAGTACATACATGTATACCTATGAAGTCATCACCACAATCAGGATAATGAACATATCCATCACTCTAAAGTGTTCCTTTCCATTTGCTTTTCTTCTGCGGCCTGGAAACCATTGATCTAAGGTGCACATAGGAAATAGCACTAGCTGCAGGTCATTTGGGATGTCTGGAGCTTAGTAGAAAAAAAGTATAGAATAAGAACTAAAATCAGTTAAGTCCAAAGTTTTAGGAAAGATAGTAAATACTGATTCTGTGGGAGATTTCCAAATTTTTTTTTTCAGAATTCTTAGAAGCTTGATCTTGCTTTCCAGATACAGTAGTTCAATTTCAAGTGTTATATTTCAAATGGCTACATGCAATTCCTGAAGGCATCAGGTTCTTCAGATCCTTGGTAGGTAGGTAACCATTGGCAAGAAACTTGGCTTATATAAGTGACTGATGAAACAATTTGAAACTTTTAAATACCATTCAAAAATAGAAATTTCTAGTCTTAACAGCCCTTTTCCTATCATTAAAAAAAGATGACATTGGTAATTTTTGGTGATAATACAGATGGGTCTCAAATGTAATTGGATTTTCTTCATATTGGATATTTCCAAATTATAGTCTAATTTGTAGACTGGTTATGTGTTATTAGAAGAGTCATTCTGTGGCTAGCCTGGACATCTTTAAGCATCTACCTGGAGCTGTACCTATGAGGAGCAGCATTCCTCAAACACCAACTAACTATACTTCGTCATGCAATTAACCAGCAGCTAGAAGGTTCAGTGCTCATTGTGGTGGTTCACTCAGCAGCAGGCTGCTAATGTAGCTATCCAAGTGACTGGATATGTTCCTGGCTTCACACAACAGTTCACAGCAGAGCAGCGAGTGCCAGATGCCTATATACTGGTACATTTTTCATGGAGATGTAGGTTGTCAGACCCTACCCTGTCTGTGCTATGGTTTAGGGAGCCTTAGATGAGATTACGAACTAAGAGGGTTTTGAGTGCCCAGCCCTTTGTGCTTACCCAGAAAGTTGAGGAGGTAGCTCTCTTGACATGCTTGTGACCCATTTGTGCACTTGCGTGTGCTATGGCTCAGTGGTGGGCCCAGTAACAGCTGAAGTTTGTGGGCCCCAGGCTCCCAGCTTAAATTGCTACAGCGACTTAGCTTCCTCTAGCCAGACATACCTACTTGAAATTAGGAAAGCCAGGTGAGACAGAGACCACATTTCTGCCAACAACCATGGAACACTGATTTTTCTGGAGTGGCAATAGCAGAAATTGTAGGGTGTGTTGTGGCAGGATATAGGGCATTCATTTTGCTAGTGAGGACTGTGGCTAGGTAATGTGGCTCTGGAATCAATGACTGAACAACATCAGCATGATTTCTTAGCTGCCTGTCTGTAGGCAGACAGCAGCTCTGCTGGGCAGCCTGGTATGTAGTCGTGCTCTGAGAGTCCCTGGAAGATAGCCTAAAGGCTGTTCTTCAGCCTTCCAATCATCTTGTCAGCAGGAGACTTCTGTGAAGGTCGAAGTTAGCATCTAAGCACACTGTCTAGACTAGATAGAGTGCTTTCTGTTATCAGCAATTAAATCCTGATTGATAATATGATATATACCATGCATGAAAGTCCTTTGAAAAGTTTGTGGAAAATGGAATTAAAACATAAATTTATTGTGATACAAAAAATTTTCAATCATATTTTTATAATATACATTTCCATGAGCTTTTTGAAGAATTTTCATCTATATGTGGATGTGTGTGTGTGTCTGTGGAATTAAAAAAATATGGTACTTTATTTTGTTATTTAACATTTTTTCTTTTTATTTGAAAAAGCGACAGGGAGAGAGAAAGAGAGACAGACCTTTTATCCATGTTTATGCCCCAAAAGACCAAGCAGCCAGGACTGGGCCAAGCTAAAGCCAGGAGCCGGAACTCCATCCACGTCTCCCATGGGTGGCAGGAACCCAAGTACTTCCCAGGCATGTTAGCAGGAAGCTGGGTCAGAAGCAGAATGGTCAGGACTTGAAACAGCACTGTGGGATGCTGGCATCCTAAGCAGCTGCTTAACCCTGTGAGCCACAGTACTCAAATTTTCCAAGTTTTGCTTTAAAGAATTTCACTCAGGGTTAGAGGTATACACAAGGTTGCTAAGGCACACTAGGAGCACCCAGGAACCCTGCTAGCTGGCTTTCCGTGGACCTCGCCCTCAGCAGATTTGTCGAGGTAGCAATAAAACTACTCTGGCAGACGAAGGAAGAAGGCCTGTGTTCTTCTAGTTCTTGCATCTGATTTTCGCCGTGCTGCCCCATACTTTTCACTGCACCTCTGCCAGTTCCCTCACTTGCAACCTCTTTGTACTAGGACCTGCATCAACCTGAGGAAGAAAGAGAAGACAGCATCAAACTTTTGCTCAGCCCCAGGAAATCCATTCCTTACTTTGCTAAAAAACTGTAGAACAGGAGAAAGATATATAATTTATTAAATATATAAATAAGACTTTCATCTTGTCATTACTTTTAAGTTAAATTAGACCAAGATCCAATGCTGTCATATTTGGGAAGCTTTGAAGTGCTTGGATGTTGCTTAAAGTCATCAGAAAATTCTCCATCTATCTCATTAATCCTGAAGAATATCTAGTCTTGAAGAAAATCAATTAAAGATAAATGGAAGCTCTTCACCAGCGTGAGGTTCAAATACAGTGTCACCCGCTGCTGCTGCTGCTAGTGCTGCTTCACGGTCCAGTCCGGAGGCTGTGCTTCTGTGTGCTCACCCTTCCTTCACCCAGCTGCCCCAGGGCAGAGCTTTGCTCAGGCTACTGTGTTTTATGAGAGGAGTGTTTTCCTATGAGGGCTCCATCCACCAAGCCATTTTTCTCAAAGCATCCCTCAGGGCAGAGAAGTTAAAGCAGAACAGGATTTCCAGTCTCAGCTGTGTCACTGGAGGAAAACAAAGGAGGTTAAAACCAAAGTAAAATCAAGTTTTATTTGGGAATAGCATTGCAATGGGAATACATGTGTCATAGTAAACTGCACATACTCAAAGAAGTTGAGGCAAGGGAAAGGTTCTTTATTTGAGAAACAGAGAAAATGAGGCAAGAGAGAACTCAAATTTGTTGGCAGGAACTGGGCTGGGACTGAAGCTTGGGGTTGGGAACAGAGTCTAGGTCTTCCAGTTGGTGTTAGGAACCCAGTTAGCTGTCACCATTGCCTCCCAAGGTATGCTAAGGGAAAGTTTCTAAAGGCAAAAATGAGAATTACATGAGGTGTTTTGAAACAATCTCTGGTCACAAGGATTAATAACAAGG